ATCATGTGACACATGTATGCTGATGATTCAGCTTTGCATTACAGAAATATAGTATTATACCATTGTATTATCACATTCTTATGATATAACATTTGGCATTTGAGAGTCCCAGCATGTTTGTTCAAATGATTACCGACCCATTCATGTGTCCTGCAACGTGGTAGGTGTTAGCCAGGCAACAAAGTTTCCATAGAGGCAGCAGCAGGAATAGTAGCCCATTGCCAGGAAGTTAATAAGTAACGAGAGTGAGAAAGAAACAAATGGATGGAAGCAGGTGAGCACATGTGTGTGTCTCACAGAAATAACTCTGAGGTCTATTTTCTGATCAAGGTGATTGTATTAGAATAGACATATTTGTTTACGCACAATTCTTTGGACAATAATGATAACATCAATTTGTGTGGTATTGCTGTTTAAATTGATGAGCAGGTGAAAAAATCCCTTAGATTTACATTTAAGGTGATACCCAAAGCCCAGAATGTCATCGAAACTTGGCGGTGTGAGTTTGTTTTACTTGGACCAGGAAGCAATCTCCCAGAACACCTAGTAACCTGTGAACAGTGAACACTTTAGCAAATGACTTGTGGTGCCTAAACACACAGCGAATTTTGAATTTACAGGCATTTCATCTTAAAGAAATGTAAAGTCTTAATAATATGACTTTATGAGATTGAGATCTGAAGCTTGTGTATCTGCTCTGCAGTCATGGAAGAGAGCCAGTCTAAACGGGAAATAACTGGTACGTAGCTTTTGGTAGAGCAACAGGATGTGCACACAATGGGAGTTTTCCCTTATCCATCCACTTCCTGTTAATGGCATCTCCTATCACAACTGCAAGGTTATAGCATCTAGTTGAAAATATTCTTTCTAATTTATTCCTTCTTAAAGGGATAGTTCACCCAAAAATGTCTTTCTTCTGCTGAAAACAAAACATATTTAGAAGAATATGGGTTAGCAAAAGGTTTATGGACCCCAATGACTTCCATAGTATATATATTTTTCATCGAGGACCACCAAATGTTTGGTTACCCGTATTCTTCGAAATATCTTCTCTTGTGTTCAGCAGAAGAAATAAATTAAGGAATTCAGGTTTGGAACAATTTGAGGGTGAGTAAATGGTGACCAAACCTTCATTTTTGGGTGACCTAACCCTCTAACAGTTTTTTTGTGACCACTTATGAAGCACATCCTACCTCACGAAGTGCGTGCAATCTGTCAATATTGCCACGTAAGTGTGTCTCTGTTCTCGTGCTGCAGTTTTATGCTGATGTTGGCTTTCTTCCCGCTCAGAGCTCGGTTTATGATTTCTGAGCCAGCAACAGATGGTTCGAAATATTCCTTTTTAATCCAGCTTTATGACATGCTGATCTTTCTTATGTAATCGTGTGCGCTTTTCCTTGGCACCACAAATGACCAGAGATGTTTTGAAAAAATCTGATTCTCCACTGCCTTCTGGGAGGATCACACCTATTGGAGGTTTTGACATTTTTTATATATATATATACAGATGAGTTTGAACAAAGGACACAGAACAAGGCATTTGCAACCAGTTAAATTTCTCATTTCTACCTGATTGCAACTCAATAGTTTGGAACTAATATTCCAAATTCCCTCCTTATTTCTAAGCACAGCTTGAGCTTGTGGTTGGTTGTATAAATGAATGTCCATGACCGGCTGGAGGTGGGCGGCCCCAGCAGGGTGTTTAGAGGAATGTGCATCTCTCACATGCGCACATACAGTTGCACCTCATTAGTCAGTTAATCTCAGTTCTGATGACTCCTCGTCCAGATTTAAAAGCAATCTGGTGGTGTGTTATGAAGACTAATGAGGGCTGAGGATGACTATGGTGAGCAGAAATCAATGCATATTTAGCAGCTGGAGGGTAAGCAAAGCCCAATATTACAATGATAATATGGTCAAAATTCAACAACTTCCAGTTAGTTAAACTGTGTGCCACACCACCAGCACACATTTTGAGATAAAGATACTGGTTTTTATTGGCAGATCAATATATAAACATGCATAGTGAGAAAGAAATACTTTCCCTTTTTTAAATTCTATGGACTTTTGGGTGTAAAATCAGTCGAAACGATCCAAACCAGGCAGAATTCAGCATATTGTGTGACAGATCTTGATTATGTTGGGCCTATGCAGTTCATACTGATATTATACATTTCAGTGTTTATAGGCCTACTGTAGTGTTAAAATGTTAAAATGTAGTGGTTTTTCTGTAAAGAAATGTATACTTTTATTCAGCAAGGATACATTAAATTGATAAAGAAAAATTACATTTATAATGTTAAAACAGATTTCTGATTAAAATAATGTCCACAAATATTAACAGCTCAACTGTTTTCAACTGTGATTGTTGAGTAGGCCACATGTTTCTTGAGCACCGATTTGAATGATTTCTGAAGGATCATGTGACACTGAAGACTGGAGTAATGATGCTGAAAATTCAGATTTACCTTCATCACAGGAATAAACTGTATTAAAGGTGCATTGTTTGATAATTAGGAGGATCTTTTGGCAGAAATGCAATATAATATACATAACTATGTTTTTTTTAATATATATATATTACCCCAATTTTCGAATGAAATTCGAAATTCTCGTAAGTTTCCAATTAGGAATATGTCCAATATTCCCTGTCTTAACTTCTCATGGAAAGTTTCAACTCATTTGCAACCCTAATTAGAACATAGACACACATATACTCTATGTACATTACTGCTGTGGCGTATGTGAGCATTTGCACTTCTACCCTTTTATAACAGCTCCTTTTTTGTTGCCTGGAAACACACAAGAGATCTGTCAATATAAAAATGTCACTGTAAAAGCAAAGAAAAGCCTTCAGAATTTAATTTTATGTGCACATGAAAAAATTACTTAACTTTGTCTTACAAGATGCACACCATTAATTGAGTTTCACAGTTCAGCTGAGCTCCAGTCTCCATTAAGAATGAGCCATTCGGAAGAGAGAGTGAATGAATGTTTGATGATGCTTCATGCTCATTTAAATTCATCCGCATGGAACATGTGTCATCGGTTTGATACTCAGCGTCGAGTTCATGACGTCCGTCAGAATGACAGATAGCGATCCACTCATCATAGAAAAGAACACTGATGCGCTTATTCATGGCAGCTGAAAATGAACAGACATTTTGCTTGGAGTGGCTTTAAGGCTTTTTATCATATTTAATTTTAAGGCTCCCAGGTGGTTAAGTAATGGTCAGTGCTTGGTAGTAATTGATTACATGTAATCTGGATTAAGTAATCAGATTCTAAAAATTAGTATTAGATTAATTACATTTTAAAACATAGTCAGTTATTTTTTATTGTTTACATTATTACATATCATTCACACAATACATTCATAATACTTATAGATTCTCCATAATTCTTTGCATTGTTTTAAATTTTCCTGTCCAAAAAAGCATATGATTTATACACATTCAGATAGTCTTTTAGTTTTGAGGAATTGAACACACACTCAGACCATCCATTAGTCAGGTGTTATAATTACATGGAAAATTGGGAGACCACAAAGCATTTGATCGCTGGATTTACGGAAGTCATTTCACTTTTGGTTTCTCAACATTGTATCCGATAATCAACTTCTTGAGAACATTTTTAATTAATATATTATTTGAAGGAATTATCAGTCAAGTCATTTTTTTATTTTATATACATTTTTATGATTTATTTAATTATTAGATTTTCATTAAACTCGCAAAACCCTTGCATTTCCTTCATGAACTCCAGTCTGGGAAACCATGACATAATGTAATGTTTAATCCACTTCATGTTGTTGATAACGAATAATGGAATATATTTTCTTTTTTTAAATTTGTATATCAATAATAAGCTACAATACTAACATGTTGTTGGGTCAAAAGTTATCAAAAAGTATTCAGATTATATTATCTAAAAATGTAATATAATAGATTACGTTACTAACTCAATTTTTGTAATGGATTACAGTTTGTAAGTAATCTACTCGGCAAAGGGAATGGTACAGTATATGATGCTGCAGAACCCGTTGGTGTTAGATTTTTAAAATAGATTTCCTGGTGTAAGGGTTTTTAATGACTCAATAATTTCATTTTTGGTGTCCATAAAGCAAATTGGCTGATTCCCAATGTAATGGAGAAATACTATACAATTTAATTACAGCAAACGAGATGTGTATTAAATTAATTTATTCTATAATATTTGAAAAAGATCAAAAATAAAGTTTATTTTTGAAGAGTTACAACAAGCAAATGTCACCCATTCGTTGGAATGGCCCTATACACACACACACACACACAGGTCTCTAATGCTCATCAAGAATGCATTTATTTGATCAAAAAGTGAAAAGTTTCATATTGTGAAAAAAAATTCAATTTGAATGAACTGCTTTCTATATGTCACATGATCCTTCAGAAATCATTCTATTATGCTGATTTGGCTGATTTTTAATGTTGAAGACAGTTTCGCTGCTTAATATTTTTGTGGAAATCATGATAATTTGTTTCAGGATTCTTTGATTGATTAGAAAATTCACTCTAGCAGCAATTATATGAAATATAATTTTCTTTTTTACAATGTTAATGTCTTAACTGTCACGTCTGATCAATTTTATGCATCCTTGCTGATTAAAATGTAATTAATCTTAAACAAAATAATATTCTGAGGTAAATATGTCATTATGAATTTCAAAGCCTTATAATGTTTGTTTAAAGGGGCATACTGATGTTTTCTACCTGCAAAAACAACAATACCACTAAAAAACATGACGGGTGACTAAATGCACATGTGGCTTCAGAGGAAATGATGACTTTTAATGACCTTCACTTGCCGCTAACACCTACACTAATTCATAGAGATTCAAAGGCACATTGATATTCAAATGCATGATGTGTGATGTTTAGTGCTTCAGGTATAATAATATAATTTGAGTATATCTAATATTTCTTTATCCTTTTAACATGTCTCTTTTCTATATATTTTTTCAGCAAACAAGTGCCCAGATCACATAGACTGTGCCATAATGAGGCGGCACTTCTGTGTGCCTGGCTCCTCCCACTGTGGCTCCTGCCTCACCCCATTTGAGGAAGATAAAGATGGACATTGTGTTGTTCCCAGGAGTAACAATTACGGTACGAAGGCATTCACACACCCACCATACCCACCTTCTGGATACTTTGTCATGATTTATTTAGCACCTATATGTCTGATCTGGCTTGTGCTTTAGTGCTTGTGCATCAACTGCGAAATCGTTTTCTCAAGCCGAATGCTGTGCATTTATTAACCAAATCCTCAGCCTGTGACTAATGTCGTCCTGAAAGAGGAGATGATGTTGATGGTTTAGACCTCAGATCCTCCCGTCATCTGGCCTGTGCTTTTGCTCTCGTTTCTCTTCTCTCTCACTCTTTCTATTGGTTTTGTGGTGAGCGTAAGGCTTAATCTCTCTCTCTCTCCTCATGTGGCAGAGGCACATGACTGAATTTAATCAGTTGGATTGGAAGCGTGCGCAGAGATAGTATGTCTGTGTGTGGCCTTGGCTTTAATGTAATTCCATGTGAGCACTGCTCTAGCAAAAAGGAAAAGCACTCTTTTTTTATCCATTACAATACTGCAGTCATAGAGTCATAAATGTCATCTTTTATGTAAGTGTCAGTGTCAAGGAAGTAGCTACTTACTTTTCAGATAAATGTATAATAGTATTTATTAATAATATCTATTTTTAGTATATTAATATGTTTTAGTATTTTGTATATTTATTTCAAATTTGTTATGTTTTTTTTTTTAATTTTTTCGATTTTTAATTTGCTATAATAGCTGAACATTTTGCGACTACTATAATGTCTAAAGCCATTTTCCAGAATTTGGCACATTTTCATTTGTCAGGTTACGAAAAAAAAAAATCTAACTTAAGAACTATTTACCCTTAATCAAGCTTCAATTTTTTTTGTATAAATATTTTACTGTTGAGGTTCTTAAAATATTTGTCTTCCAAATTTTTTAAAAAAGTAAGGGTTACTCGGTCTGAAGTCATGTGATACATAATAAATATTCAAAATATACATACTGTATATTAATATGCAAAATATCACTCTTAAGATCTAGAAAAATATTATAAATAATATATAATATTCTATAATAATATTATTATATAGAGGTATAATAGTATACCTCTTTGTTATAAATGGCTCTTACAACTATAATGTAGTTCCATAATATTAAAGCAGTAGGGATATATATATATATATTACGGCTTTAATATACATATTACTTTATTTTAAATTGTGGAATAATTATATAATTTCTTAATGTACATAAAATTGTAAAATAAAAAGATATATATATATATTTTTTTTTATAATTACTATTTATCATTAATATATAAATAATATAAAATATAATTATAATTATATTATATAAAATATAATATATTATATATTATTATTTATAAATTATTATATATAATTATATATATATATATATATGAAATATGTGTATATATATATATATATATATATATATATATATATATATATATATATTATTAATGGAAATGTTTTTAATTTTGAATCCATTTCGTTTCATATTTTCAAAACATATGTATCTGAGCAATAAAGTGGCTATTGCTGTAAATCAGCAGCACTGCCTTCACAGGGTTTGTCTTCGCCCAAAGTTCTCATGCTAATAGACCTTCTTTCCACCTCACCTTCTCTCTTTCTCATATCTGCAATACTTTTCCTGTAATTCAGCTCTGCAAACATAGGCCTGGCTCACTGAATGATGAAGAGCCTGATAAAGGGCTGAAGAGGACAGCTGACAACTTTCATTTTTTTGAGCATTTCATTTTGTGTAGCCAGAACCTGTGTGTTTCTGTTACTAAGAATATCTTCAAAAATAAGAGCATGTTTAGTGAATGTGTTTAGTGTTTTTTGCTTTGCATTGTACTCTTACACCTTTACCTCTGTCCTTGCTTTACAGGAAAGTCTTAAAGATTCAAAGAGATGATAGTGTATGTTAGACCAAGGTGGAACCTGCTGTTAAAGAGTACTGATCAAACATTCATGCGTCATATTTGCTTTAATATTGCCTTGAGCGAACATCAACTGAGTCACTTCAGCACAACCACATTTAATTGGGATTTTTATTCCACCATTATGTATTTAAAATCCTCAGCCCTTGAATTTGGGCCACATCAGCTGAAGCGAAGTCTCTGCCAGTAACCATCATCCATCTATGTAGGTCAGCAGTCTCATTTTTACGTCACTGATTGGAAATGAACCCAGAGAGAGAGAGAGAGAGAGAGAGAGAGAGAGAGAGAGAGAGAGAGAGAGAGAGAGAGAGAGAGAGAGAGTCCAGAGGCCATGGCTGCGTTTAACTCCACTTTAATACATACACTCGCAAACTTCCCTAAGCATTTCCCTCGGGGGGAATCCCCGGCAACATTTTGAAGTGCGATCAACTTTAAGTGGACGAGGGAAGTTTGTTTGGACAGGACAGACCCTCATTGACCCTTGATTTTGACTGAGGGAGCAAGTTATCTCAACATGTACACATCAGGCAGATCCATAGACCACAATGCACCATGATCTTGCTTAATTTACCCCCACTCAACTCTAGTAAATGATGATAGAGTTATTTTGACATTCAACGGCATTATACTTGACTGTTATTACACCGTTATAGTTTATTGTATTATCCTTTTTGTTTGTGTCATTTTCTCCAACAGCCCAAGCATACCCCACTGAGCAAAATGATGTCCAAAAGACGTCTTTTCAACGTCTTTGTCACAAAAGTCGGACGTTGAAAAGACGTCCACTGAGGGGCCGGAATGAAAGTTTTTATAACGTCTTTATTTGACGTGTTCTGGACGTCTGAAAAAGATGTTAATGGATCCTTCGTACAAGGTTAAAAACTAGTTCAAATGTGGCCATTTTCAACATTATTTATGGTCTCATTTAGACAATTTATACTGTTTCTTGACCAAATAAACACTCTCAGGATGCATTAAATTAAAACTCAAGTTTATTTCAATGTAATTTCCTTACATTGTTTAGATGGTGATATTTATTTTATTTTGAGTCACCATTGTGGTGATCAGTGTTTGCTTTAGTTGGGCTCTTGGTCCCAATAATAAGTATTCTAGCTTTTCTTTGGCTGTTGTAACTGTGTGTTTGAATAACACCATTGTTGTGACAGAGAAAGCCAAGAAAATTGACTCTCATCAGCTCCTTGTTGTTGATGATGATGATGATGGGAATGATGATGATGAAATCAACATAAAGTGGGCATTTAACGTTGTGTTTAGACTTTTGTGTTTGTATCTGGAGTTTATAACCACCAATGTTGTGAAACTGCATTAGTAGCATGGAAGTTGGACAAAAAGCAAATTTACACAATGTTTTGAGAAAATCTACCATAGAGTCACACACAGACATGAAGATTTTGCATATGATTCACAAAAATGGTGACAATAAATAAAAAAAATGCTTCATGCTGCAATGCATGATGGGTAGCTTTCATAGTACAAAACATCCTCGATTCCCAGGCTTTTTTGTTTTGGTTGTCACCGTCGTTGAGAATCATATGCAAAATCTTGATATCTTGTGTGTGACTATGTGATTCACTTTCTTAAAACATATTATATTTTTATTATGAAACATTTTTTATACACATTATAAAGTTACTGGTCCAAATAATGCAGTTCTAAAAAGTGAATAATTATTTCAGATATAAAAACGGAAGTTTAGATGTTGTTTAATGCTTGCATTGCGTTGATTTTGCCATCATCAACAAGCAGCTGAAGACAGATGATCTTTTATTTTCTTGGCTTTCTCTGCACAATCAATGGTGTTATGCAAATAGTTACATCAGCCAAAGAAAATCTAAAGTAAGAAGAATTGGGACCAAGAGCCCAACTAAAGCAAACACTCATCACCACAATGGTGACTTAAAATGAAACAAATATCACCATCTAAACCACATCTAAACAATGTAAATAAACTTGAGTTTTAATTTAATGCATCCCGAGAGTGTTTATTTGGTCCAGAAACAGTATAAATTGTCTAAATGAGGCCATAAGTTATGTTGAAAACATGTCCACAATGGCCACATTTGAACTAGTTTTTAATCTTGTCCGAAGGACCCATTAACGTCTATACCGGACGTCCAGAACACGTCACAAAAAGACGTCATAAAAACTTTCATTCCGGCCCCTCAGTGGACGTCTTTTCAACGTCCGACTTTTGTGACAAAGACGTTTAAAAGACGTCTTTTGGACATCACTTTGCTCAGTGGGACGTACAGATTCAACAAACAGATTCAAACATATTCATAAGGAAAAACTGTAAACAATAAATCAGCTCCATTGAGGATTCCAAGTGATTAAGGGCTTAGTGTGTTCCATTTAAAAGCGGTTCCGCCAGTAGTGGGCACTCGTGCAACAAAAGCAATGACGTACATCGAAATTAGCGAGACGAAATTAGTGACGACATCTGTCAATAAACACCTGCATGATTTAAACACTTACATGACTGTGTTAATGATCACACTGACTGAAATAGCCTGGCTGGAACTAGTATTTTAGTACTGTCCAAAGTTGATTGATGTCAGCGAATCACTTATAATAATTGTATTTTTTTTTATATATATTTGATGCGTCAATTGCTTTGCGTTGTCTGTCAAAAACACCTGAAAATTGATATCCGCTTAGTGCGCTTAGTGAAGTCACCACTAGATGGCAGCATAATCGTGTCAAAAACTTTCGTCAGTCAGAGTTGTTGTGTCTGGCTTGTTATAAAGCTGCATGATATACTTGCACAGGTCAGAGAAATTAGTGTGTCCCAAATCATATGCCAAAAACTGTTTTTAAGTGTGTTTTTTTTGCAGTATGCATCCTTGCATTCTCTTTTTTTGGTGAATTTGCTCATTTTACTGGCAAATGCAAACAGTAAGGGATCTGTGGTATCAAGGCACAGTTTTGTAATGATATATTAGTATGTCTCAGTACTGCTCTTCTGTCTCAATACACACTCAAGTACGGACTTTCCCACAACCAGTCAAGTGCATATACTGTGCAAATATAATATTAATCTTTCTTTTTACACTTTTCACAAATATATAAAAATCAATAATTTAATTTCGTATTGTAAAATTGTGGAACTACTTGTCTGATGCAGTATGCTATTTTTAGTATCATTGAGATACTATTATAGTATTCACTCATTTTTGAGATTAGATTTTATTTTAATAATTTCCATTTTCATTGTGATTTTAGTCAGAGTTGCAGTCATTTTGTTGTGTTTTTTGTCATTTGTATATTTTTTTTAATGTCAATTCATTTTTATTATTTCAGTTTTAGTTATTTTAGTACATCAAGTTAAACTATTTGAAAATGAGAAATAAGTATTTTTTATATATTTTAGTTGACGTTTATGTTACTCGATTTCACTTGATTTCAAGCATTATTTTTAATGGTTTTAGTTAACTATGATAACCCTGTCTGATCTTGTACTGGTAGCACCTGCTGCATCAAAACTTGATTCATGGTTTTTTTGTTTTTTTTTTGCTCATTTTCTTGTTGGTCATCAGACTTTAGTCAGGCTGTGGTGTCTTTATGTGTAAAGCACAGATTTTCAGATCCACTTGTACAGATGGTTTGTCCTGCCTCCTTTGACACCTGCTGTGGAGGACAGACTGGACTGTGGGGGTGTTGACAGCGATATGTGTTTCTGTATCACATCAGGCTTGTTCTAGGAGGCAGATGGCCAGTCTTCTGTAGACTAAACACACTTTCATGACAATAAACATTCCCCGTTCCAGTAGTTCCAGTCTGTCAGCAGTTTCTGGTACAGAAAGACTTAATGTATGTCTGTGTGCAATGTGAAGAGATGATTACGATAAAGTTTGCTATATGGAAATATTACTTTTTTTTTTCAGCAGCTCATTGCAGACACAAACCCTTGTACCATATATGCAACACCTCGCCTCTCATTGACATAGCAGTTAACCTTATTTAGATGATCACTGTCAATGTGTCAATCCAGGCTGGAACAGCAGACAGAACCAGGGCTGGGCGATAGAATTAATACTTATGATGTATTCATTCAATATTATTTTGTTTGTGATGCAAAAGGCTGTGAGATCTAATAAATATTTTTTATATAGTCTATATTATGTTGTTGCCTATTTAAAATTATATAGGCAATCAGGGCTGGATGATATAATGAATATTTATAGTATATTTAATATTATTTTATCAAATTAACCAGCTAGTACTTGATAATGTAATGAATATATACATATATAGAGAGAGAAATTTCTGCTACATTCTATATTATTTTGATTTATATAAAATTTGCCAACTAGGACTGGATGATATAATGATTATATTTATTATAATACAATTTATTTAGTTTGTTTTATAAAATTAAAGAGACAAGACCAGATAATTTTTATATACAAAAACACATATACAATATGTTCTTTATACATATATATATATATATATATATATATATATATATATATATATATATATATATACACCACATTTTCAATATTATTTTCTTCTTGATTTAATATTTACTATCCAGTGCTGAATGATTTAATGAATTTTTGTAATATTCTGTTGTTGTTTTTTTTGCCATTATACAATTAGCCAACTAGGGCTGGACAATACATAAAAATAAAAAAACTGTTTGTAAACATATATTTAATCTTTATATCATTTTTCTTTCTGGTTTTCATTGTGTTGTGTATTGTAGCGCTAAGACAGACTTGTTTTTACAATGTCTTTTATTTCAAATGGATTTATTTCAGATAAATGACAATAGACTTGCTTTTTTTCTGTGAATAACTTCTTTCAAATCAGTTTCTGTGTGTAAGAGGTAATGAGCGATCACACACCCCCTCGGGCCCTCTCACTGGCCACACACACACACACACACACTCAGGCTGGTTGCCGGGGGGGACGATCTTCCATAGTCTTGGAATGCAGCTTACTGTCTGGCCAAACGTACCATTAAACCATGTGCTGCTTTTGTTTTCCGTTTAGAGCGTGTCAAACAAACAACTCCCTGGCACACTCTCACTCAGGACACACACAGCCCATTCATCAGACTTCTGCTCTCATAGATCATTTATGAATGATTATCATTTTCCAGAATATACTCCCAGAGCAATTGGGCTTGAAATAAGGTTTAACTTTGAAGTACAAGAAAAATGTGTGTTATGTTGTTTATAAGACATGGTGCCATGATTTTTTTGTGCACATTGCATGGTAGAACCATGTTTGTATGATAATTTTCTTGTGAATTTAAAGTACCAAAAAGTATTTTTTTCAAATTAAATTCTGTCCTTGTTTTCGCAGGCACAATTCCCTTTCATCCTAGTATTGATGAAGAAATCGACCATCTGTCTGTCATTGGCAAGCAGCAAATCCCAGAAGTCAAGCAGCCAGGTTTGAACTATCTCTTAAAATCTGTGTGGTATGGTTATTGAGGTAGTATTGTGGCTGTAGTGGTCATGATTCATAAGCAAACCGTTCTGAATTTCCACCTCGCTTGCTCTTTGCTATCTATGCAGTTTCAGTTTCAGTGTGGTGTGACATAACAAGTAACGGCAGGTTTGGATTGCCTATGCCTTTGCCACTTAACCTTTGCCACTTAACCGTTAACCGTGGAAAAACTTTGTGGTAATTAGGGTTCATTAGATCAAAATAAGGATTTTAATGTTCCTTTCTCTTCTTTTCTCTCTCTTCATTCCCTCTTTAGTCTCTCACTCACAGTCTCCTCCACAATCCAATTCAGAATCGAAGCAGAAGAGTCTGCATAAACCCACAACTGTAGAGCCAACAACCGGCAGCCCGTCGACACCTCAACACCCAACCCCTAAATCTCCCCAGCCAAACACAAACTCGTCCAACCGCCATGGGCCGATGATTTACCCCCACCCTTCCAGAGACAGCCTGCTTGTCTGTATGTGCCTTTTGATTTAGTTTTTTTTTACTAAGTTCTAATTATGATTAATGTGTTGGGTGTGAGTTTTTGTATTTATTATTATTTTATCATGCTTTGATCCGGTTTCCACAGAAATTGGGTGCAAAATGCACTCATTTTAATGTAATTTTACTGGATTTACTGTGGTTTGGCTGGCCCTGACAAAGATGACATTTTAGTAGGCCCATCCCATGATGTTTTGTATTTATCAATTTACACACTGCTCTCTCATTAAAGTAGAATTGAGTGTGTCCTGTTTTAATGAAGCAAAATCTCCTGTTTTATGATAGTCCTCCTCAAATGTTCTCTTCTGTCTCTGTTTCTCTCTTTTATAATTGTGTTTGTATGGGAGCAGTGACGATATCTTTATGCATTGTTGTGGGGGCCGTGGGACTCTTTGTTGCTGCCTTCTGCTGGGTCAGGTAAATTGAATCTTTTTATTATTGTCATTATTTATTATCAGTTATATATACAGTTTGTTTTGTCAGCCAGAACCATGATCATTTCACCGTAGTGTGTTAATTAAAAATAAAGTGTAAATAATTTGTATTATAAATAAATAAAGTAAAATATTACAGTTCAAGTACACATACAAATGTATTAATTGCATCCAAAATAAAAGTTTGTGTTTCCATAGTATATGTGGGTGCACTGTGTATAATTATTTTGTATACATATTATAAATACACACACATGCATGTATATTTAAGAAAAAAATATTATTTATATATAAAATATTTATATGTAATATAAATCTATATACATGAAAATATTTCTTAAATATATACAAGCATATTTATATTTGTGTGTATTTATATATACAAAATAATTATACACAGTGCACCCACATACAGTATGTTATGTAAACACAAACTTTTATTTTGGATCCGATTAATAATTTGACAGCCCTAATATATATATATATATTCAGTGTATATATGTATGTATATATATATATATATATAAGATTTTATATATAAATAACACATTTTTTTTAAATATATACATAACTGTGTAAATAATTATACACAGTTCACATACATATATTATGTAAACACAAACTTTTATTTTGGATGCGATTAATTCACAGCCCTAATTTTATATAAATATATTTTGATCCTTTTAGTATTTTTTCAGTTCATTTTATATATATATATATATATATACATTTTCTTTATCATTTTGAGTTTTTTATTTGTATTACAAAATATATTTTTTTTATATTTTGTTCTATTTTCAGTACAGTGCACTATTAGCAAACAAATAATTTTAGGAAAGTAGTTGTGTACTTCTTTAAGACAATGTAAATGTTAGTGTTTTCTATTGCAAGCCTTATTATTATTTCTTTTTTCCAGGGTTCAGAGAGAATCTCATCTGGCTCAGAAGGTCGATTACCCTGCGTTTCATGCAGCGGGCTCTGACAATAACCATACTTCTGTAAGACAATTCACACTAATACCAGTTTGTGTATCTGAAAATACAATATACACTTCAGAACAACTTCTTGTAATGTTGAAATGTTTACGAGCATTCTCTTTCCATGTTTTAGTCTGGGGATAAAACACTGGCTCACAGTGCTCAGATGTATCACTACCAGCATCAGAAACAACAGATGCTCTCTATGGAGAAGTAAGCACAAAAGACCAGATGATTTCCTTTCAAATTATTTGTACATTTTCTTCATTTTAAGTCACTTTATCAGACTGCTGATCCTTACTCATTTCCTTCCTTCTTATTTGGTTCGACTTTAATAGACATAAAGCAGAACCTAAAGTGTCGGAGTCCGGGGCCACGTCAGACGAGGAGAATGAAGAGGGAGATTTCACTGTGTATGAGTGCCCTGGACTAGCACCGGTGTGTACACTTTATCATCATCTCTCAGCTTATCTTACTAACTTCCTATATATACAGTGGGTACGGAAAGTATTCAGACCCCCTTAAATTTTTCACTCATAGTTATATTGCAGCCATTTGCTAAAATCATTCGTTCATTTTTTTCCCTTATGATTGTACACACAGCACCCCATATTGACAGAAAGACAGAATTGGAAAGAAATCCAAGTCCAGGCACTCAGGGTTACAAAAGTGAAGGAGGCCAGTGGGCCGATACACCAACACCCTGATGAAGGCCAGTGGGCCGATACGCGTTGGTGTTTTTTAATGGTTTAGCCCTCGATTGTATAATAAAGGCCTTTTTCACTTTTGTAACCCTGAGTGCCTGGACTTGGATTTCTTTCCAATTTTTATGAACTTTCAACCCTTCCAAGAGCACCAGAGGTTACAAGGGACACCAGCAGCGCTCCAGCTTCCTTTTGTTTAGAAAGACAGAATTGTTGACATTTTTGCACATTTATTAAAAAAGAAAAACTGAAATATCACATGGTCCTAAAACATGCATCTAATACGGTCTTTTTGGAAAAGATGCAACAAGTTTTTCACATCTGGATTTGGGTATCCTCTTCCATTCCTCCTTGCAGATCCTCTCCAGTTCTGTCAGGTTGGATGGTAAAAGTTGGTGGACACCCATTTTCAGGTCTCTCCAGAGATGCTCAATTGGGTTTAAGTCAGGGCTCTGGCTGGCCCATTCAAGAACAGTCATGGAATTGTTGTAAAGCTACTCCTTCGTTATTTTAGCTATTTTAGCCTTGTTGGAAGGTGAACCCTCCAGGTTTTCTTCCAGGATATCCCTGTACTTGGCCGCATTCATCTTTCCCTCGATTGCAACCAGTCGTCCCTGTCCCTGCTGCCACCACCATGCTTCACTGTTGAGACTGTATTGGACAGGTGATGAGCAGTGCCTGGTTTCTCCACACATACCACTTACAATTAAGGCCAAAAAGTTCTATCTTGGTCTCATCAGACCAGGAATCTTATTTATCACCATCTTGGAGTCCTTCAGGAGTTTTTTTAGCAAACTCCATGTGGGCTTTCATGTGTCTTGCTTGGTTGACTTACTACAACTTTCTCCCATCTCCTGACTGCATCTCTGGAGCTCATCCACAGTCATCTTTGGGTTCTTCTTTACCTCTCTCACCAAGGCTCTTCTCCCCCGATAGCTCAGTTTGGCCAGATGGCCAGCTCTAGGAAGGGTTCTGGTCGTTCCAAACGTCTTCCACCTTAAGAACCTTAAGTGCAGCACAAATGTTTTTCGTAACCTTGGCCAGATCTGTGGCTTGCCACAATTCTGTCTCTGAGTTCGTCAGGCAGTTCCTTTGACCTCATGATTCTCAATGGGCTCTATGCACGGTGAAGGTCTAAGGATGCTGAACTACTTCCGCAGATCGTAGAGTCCAAGGCTATAGCTAGAATTTATATTGGCTTCTATGCTCTATGGCTATACTAATGAAACGTTAGTCACAAAAACAGACAAAACAGCCATTTTGTTTATGCTTATTTGTTTGTTATATTAAATAAACATAACTATATATAAAATTACATCTACACGTAATAAAGTTTCGTTTCAAAGACAGGAGGACAGTAAATTTCGAAGACTCTGCCGTAATCCCGTTTTCCTGCGCTTTTAATCTCCCCAACCGGAAACTGAAGAGCAGCCTTGCGTCAAATGTGGAACTTATGCATACTGTATAGCCTATTGCTCTGATATTTCCTGTAAGCTGTAAGGTCTTATATAGCTTTCCTAATCAAGTCCAATCAGTATAATCAAACATAGCTGGACTCAAATAAAGGTCTAGAACCATCTCAAGGATGATCCGAAGAAATGGACAGCACCTGAGTTAAATATATGAGTGTCACAGCAAAGGCTCTGAATACTTAGGACCATGTGATATTTCTGTTTTTCTTTTTTAATAAATATGCAAAAATGTCAAGAATTCTGTTTTTCTGTCAATATGGGGTGCTGTGTGTACAATAATGAGGAAAAAAATTAACTTAAATGATTTTGGCAAATGGCTGCAATGTAACAAAGAGTGAAAAAACTAATGGGGTCTGAATACTTTCCGTACCCACTGTATGTGTATATATATGAAGAGTTCAGATGCAAAAGCCTCTAAATGCCATTTGAAATTTTCTTCTAAAATGACCATTTTTATCAAGCTTGTATATTTAAGTTCAGTAATTTCACTTAAATGCCAATTAATAGGTAATCTTCATTGCCATTTAAGTGAAATTACTGAACTTAAATATACAAGTTTGATAAAAATCATCATTAAAGCAGAAAATTTCAAATGGCACTTAGAGGCTTTTGCATCTGAACTCTTCATATATATATATACGTATATATATGAAGAGTTCAGATGCAAAAGCCTCTAAATGCCATTTGAAATTTTCTGCTTTAATGATGATTTTGATCAAACTTGTATATTTAAGTTCAGTAATTTCACTTAAATAACAATTAATAGGTAATTATCATTGCCATTTAAGTGAAATTACTGAACTTAAATATACAAGTTTGATAAAAATCATCATTAAAGAAGAAAATTTCAAATGGCATTTAAGGCGCTTTTCCACTGCATAGTACGGTACGGTTCGGTTCGGTACGGCTCACTTGTGGTCAGTGTTGGGAGTAACGCATTACAAAAGTAATACATTACAGTAACATATTACTTTTTGCTGTAACGCAGTAGTGTAAGGCATTACTAATCAATTTTCAGTAATATTTTACTCGTTACATGTTCAGTGAGGCTTGTATTACAGTTGTATTACAGTGTATTTTCTGCTTTTACTTCTTAAAGGCAACAGATATGTGAAAGTTTTAAAGCAGTCTTTTAGTGCCAGTTCAGAGCGGTCGCGTCTGTAACATTGTTTTTTCCTCATAAATGCGAACACGAAAACTAAAATAAAAAGAATATTTTAAGTTCTATGGAGACTGGAGAGCCAACCCTTCCTCATCCGATTTGCGCAGTGTAATTAACAGAATTAAAAAAAATATATTTTGCCTCCTATTTTTTTGTCACGCATGAATGTGTCTTTTCCCTAATATTAAAAATAAAACATAGACTGATATTTGTCTAATGTCTGGAGTCCTTTAAGGAAGTAGCCTATATACGTTTCAATACATGTATTTTCTGAGAATTTTTATTTCAAGTTTTGAATGCAAATGTCATCATGTCCATAATGCTGGACCCAATTTTAAATAATTTATCCTCAACTAGTTTTGTGGTGTAGGTCTACGTATTTTATAATGTTAACTTCAAATAATACTAATAGCCTAATTTAAAGATAAGACAGCATTGGATCTGGACAGTAAGGAGAATAACGCTGGAGTTGGAAGAGGTTTGTCGCGATTCTGTAGGTTCGTGGATCTGAGTCGTGTGGCGAATGGCGATTTCGGTTTCATATTGCATATCGTTAGAAGCCCCAAAGTTAAGTTCTACTTAGTTATTTTGGTGAAAGTAACTCAAAAGTAATACATGAGTAATGTAACGCATTACAATTCTGAGACAGTAATATTGTAAGGTAATGAATTACTTTTAAATAACAGTAACAAGTAATACCTAATGTATTACAGTTTGGAAGTAACTTGCACAACACTGCTTGTGGTGCTTTTCCACTGCATGGTACGGTACAGTACGGTTTGCTTCAGGTCGCTTTAAATGGTACCTGGTCTGTTGAGGTTCCAAGCGTACCGTACCGGTACTAAAATGCGACGTGAAACACTGCAGATCACTGATTGGTCAGACAGAATCGTCACTACCAGCGTCACTACTAGCGTCATTGGATTTGCGACACGAGACACTTTTTTAGCAGTATTTTGTTTTGCTGCCATCAGCCTCATTTTAAACACATTTTTCCGTCTAGCAGTTAAAAACAACCACATACCGAGAATCAGGAACACCATCCCCTCGATAGTCTCCATTGTTCCTGTGTTGTGGGTTTGAAAATGTGGCGCTTTTAAGATGATGTCATGGCAGTAGAGGCGCGCGCAAATAACGATCAGTCCCACACATTTTGAAGGGGTACTACTGCAGTGGAAACGCAAAGCGAACCGAAATGTTCCGCTCCGAGTCGAAGCGTACTGCGCCGAACCGTACCGTACTATGCAGTGGAAAAGCGCCATTAAAGGCTTTTGCATCTGAACTCTTCATATATATATATATATATATAATATATAGAGAGAGTTCTGTGTAAAATTCCCCCCCCCCCCCCCCCCCAAATATGGTTTTACACCAGTCTATTTATTTATTTATATCTGTTGCTGTAGTGTGTGAGTACAAAAATATATATATACCAAATATATATATACCACGTCTATGTGGTACAGAGGTGCTTTCCTGGTTCAGTCCTAAGACAAAAAAAAACACTTCTGCAAAAGATACACATCTAATAATGCAGTTCTGGCCAAAAAGCATCACTGTGGGTTTTTTTTTCTCTGCAGACTGGAGAGATGGAGGTGAAAAACCCACTGTTTGACGACTCCACCTTACACTCTCAGAGAAATCATAAGTGACCTGGACACACACACACACACACACACAACCCTGTATATTTTAACAATAGGCTTAACACGCCTAAAAGCACTCTGCGATTGGGTGAAGTTGCACCACACACAAATGATGACATCCAACCACACATGGAAAGAAATAAACTATGACTCTGTTTTTCCTGGAACGTCCCAGCCCCCCTCAGAACAAAGTCAAAAAATACTCAAACTTTAAAGATGCCGAAGAAGGGATGATATGTAGATGAATGATGAATGGTGAATAAAGTAAAAGGGAGCAGTTGTTAAGACGTTTTTCTTGTACTCAAATGCACATATTGAATCTGAAAGAACTCTTTCCCCGCAAAATCTCATTGGAAACGCAAAGCGGCTGTTTAATATCTTCACGTCACATCTTTATTCTTCAAGTCTGGGGTTTGTTTTCTCTCGCTACCTTTTTATGTCTCCTCTCTTTTAAAATCATTCCTCTTTAGGGTCATGCTAGGAAGCTTTATAAGCATCTCTTATCATTGTGTAGAAGTACACAGTGGTGTTATTTGTCTCTCCATATCTGAAAATTGTTTTCTTGTTGTCAACATTTAATTGTCTGTATCAGTGCTGATTTAAAACAACATAATATATTCTTTCTTTTTTTATTAAATTAAGAATAGTTTTTGTCACTTTAGTCATTTTTCCACTGTATGTTTCTTCAATGAAGTATGAAGCCGCTCTTATATTATATAGTTGTTTGTTTTCTTTGTAAAAATCAAATCCATAATGACCGTGTCTGGGAATTACATATTAGTCAGACTGAAACGGAGTTGCTGAGGTTCCTGTGCTCAAGACACTTTAGTATAAATACATAAACTTAAATGTATTATATTGTATTTCTTTGAAGCTTATGGGTAATAATGACTGACATGACAATCACAATTTAATAATTACACAATAATACATTTAATTATTCATTTAGTTGACTTTTTGTTTTGTATGGTTTATTAAAGCTTCTCATCCAACTTTAATGTATTATGTCATTAAAGTTTAATACAGTAAATACAATCATATTTGTGTACTAAATTCACTGTTCCATAAATCAATAAGGATGGTATGGATAGTGTTGCATCAATGTGAATATCAAAGACTTTCATTGTCAAAAGTGTATGTTTGACCTCAAATCTTTGATTGTTGAATTGATGAAACATCAGAGTTTTATTTCTATTCGTATTTTTTTTTTTTTCAGTTGGAGCTGAAAGTCGCTTGTTCTCTGAAAGTAACTGTATAGCTTAAATGTTTGTCCTCTCCGGCTCAAGCATCCAAACAGAACGTGGCGAGAGCAGACACAACCTCCCCCAATACAGGCTCTTTTCTGCGATGGGCCACTTATCTGTCCCATAAGGTGTGGTTCAGAGGAGCCCATCACAGATCTAGCCTCATCGAGGTGTCTATGGGGGAGAGCCATTAAAGGCCATTGTAACTGTGAATGGTGAGGAAGGCAGCCATAGGCCACCTGATCAAGATATGTGGGGAGAGAGGCAGTAGTCGTCAGCAGGGTGTCAAAAGCAATCAAAAGGCCATCGGACAGGCTGTATAAGTCAATGGGGCAGAAGGGGAGAGAGGTCACATACCTGTTTATCAGATAATCCATTTTTTATCTGTTCAAAAATATTTACGTCTAAAAACCATGTTCACTGATTACCAGGCCAGATTTGTAGCTCATTTTATTTTATTTTTATTTTATTTTTTTTGCTTCAGACATTACGTCAGATTAATGGGGAACTACTCAAATATTTGATATAATTTATAAAATAGTAACCTACATTTCTCTAGATGTTGCTGCTGCCGTCATTATTCAAAAGAATAGCCAACAACTGAAAACTTCCTTTTTTGGTGATAGATATTAATCATCGGTAATTTTAGTATAATTTAGAAACTATTATATTTTATCATTTGAATTAAGTGTATTTTGTTTCATTTTTTTGAGTTGGTCTAAAGTTAAAATTGTACTGTCTGTCATTTTATTAGTTATTGTTTCATTTAAATATATATATATATATATATATATATATATATCGTTTGTTATTTATTTATTATTTTAAAATGATGGTTTTAGTAAGTAGCTGAAATAAAATAAATATATAAAATTAATTCAAAACAATTCTAAAATACAAAAATAAAAATATAAAATTATTCAAATTATATATTTTATCATATGAATTAAATGTATTTTGTTTAATTTTTTGAGTTGGTCTAAAGTTAAAATTGTATTGTTTTTTTTTTTGTTTTTTTGTCTTTCATTTTTATTTGTTATTGTTTCTTTTAAATATATTTATATCGTTTTTATTTATTTTTATTTCAAAATGATGGTTTTGGTAAGTAGCTGAAAGAAAATAAAAAATATAAAATTAATTCAAAATATATATTTTGTCATTTGAATTAAGTGTATTTTGTTTTATTTTTTGAGTTGGTCTAAAGTTAACATTGTATTTTTTGTCATTTTATTAATTATTGTTTATATATATATATATATATATATATATATATATAATTTTCATTTATTTTTTATTTCACAATATAGCTGAAATAAAATAAGTTAAAGAAATTCAGTTAATATTTTTTTTTTCCCTATAATAACCTTATTTTATAATAGATAATACTTTAGCTTCCATGTTATAACAAAGTGAGATCAGAAAGCAACTGGAATGTTTAAAGCAGAAATTTGATTAGTATCTTTGTATGTTTGTTTGACTTTGTGTTCTTCAATCTTCAAACCATTTCTCAACCTGCTTACCACCCTTTGATTAACACCAATATCTCATTTGGTTTCCGCACCTCTGTGATTCTAAAAAAACTGATGCAGATGTAGCATGAAATGTCAAAGTGCATCAAATGTAAACAAGGGCGGGGTGATGACTTTGCTCAATATTAATAACAACCGGAAACTGCTTGTTGCAATGAAATGCCACAAGTCAATGTTTGCAGAAGTTATTTCAAGAAAAGATTTACAGAGTTTAAATTTCACAGTACACAAAAAATAGACACGGTCTGCCAAACAGAGCCACCTGGGAGTGTTTTGTGGCCTAATCCTGATCCTGCCGTCCCTCGCTGCACACCCCACCCCGGCCTGTGTCATCTCTCTTCCCACTTTCTCCTCCTCTGTCTGCACTTTACATAACAATCCCCACCAAGTCCATGGGCCAGCACAATGCCTGCAGCAGTGGTTTGATGTCTTTTAAAAGCTTTGACTGGCCCCGGAGTCCTCCTGTGTGTCCTTTCCTCGGCTTTGTGACCAAGAGAGATGGACAGCTCAGTTTGTGACCTATAGCTCCTGGTCTGCAAGAGTGTGTTTGGAGGCAGGGGGTTGATTGTTGTAGATTTGTGTTGGCCGTGCTTGTACTGATGGTGCTTGTGTGTGTGTGATGCCCTGGGTGGGTGGTGATGAAGCATCAGAGGGATTAGACAGGGAATCAAAGCAGATTGCAGAGTTATATGTGTGCGTGATCATTTCTTGCCTTAACATACTTTGCGATCAGACTCCAGAATAAACTACACGTGCATGTATACGCTGGAGAGAGACTTTGGACTAGTGCGTCGGTGAAACTTTGACGACTTTGAAACTGTGTTTGTTTCGGAGGAGAGGAGGGGGTGGGGGAGGAATCAAAGGGTTGAGACTTATTGTTCAATGCTGAAAGGCAGCTAATGGCCGGCCATCGCAACTGTGGCTCTGGGAGCGGCGGGGGGCCTCGGGCTCTTGTGGCACAATGCCTCCCCCATCCACTTTCCTGCGGCGCGTCTTCCTGCCGCAATCTGCACCGATCGGCTCGGTCGGGGGTGCACAGCTGTATCGATGCGACTCTAGAGCTTTTACGAAATGTACCTAAACAACTTTAATGAAACAAGCACGAAGCTTGCGCATATAGCCTACATGCTAATATTAACAAAACAATCACTTTCGTTTTAGGCTATATATTACAATATCTCTAAACTGTTTTACCGTTTTAATCAATGTTTTTATTTTTGTTTGTCGCCGCACCCAGACTTAAATTCTCCTATTGGCTATAATAAATTAGCCTAATAGCTAAATAAAATAAAATTAGATCAATTCGATTTTGACTGAATAGATCGAATTTATAAGCTTTTTCTAACTCCCTCTGGCCTATAGCCTATAATAGGAAACATATATAGGCGCCTATATAATTTTTTAAGCAAGTAGAAAACAGGTTTTATATGTATTTAAAATGGATTTAAAGGGAGTGATGGTGAAAATTAGAAGTGGGAGCACACATGCTATTCTGAACACGAGATCATCATACATTTTTGTTTTGAGACAATAAAACATTTTTTGTGCGAATTTTAGGGCTCATTGAACGCTGTTTTAATTTTGCGATTTTGTTAACTTTATATTCTCTCTCTCTCTCTTTAGACTATAGCCTAACATATAGCCTAATTGTTTTAAGCATCTTTAAAAAAAATCCGAGTTAATTTCTTATGGGGAAAAATTAAATTACACAGCTAAAAATATGTTATTCCACATTCCACAGTAGTAGGCTGTTATTACCTTCTTTCTTTTTTTTTTAAATACCCTTGTATAAACTGCTCATATCTGTGGTTCAACAAGCAGCGTGAAGGTGGGAGATGTGACGCTTGTAATCCAATTGCTTATCAGCAACAGACAAACAAAACAATTCACCTTTTATCTACATGTCTTAACCAAATAGAACAGGAATAATGCGTGTGAATGCATTAATTTATCAATTATTCCGTTTTATGATAAATTTTGTTCACAATATAATAAATTGGAACCTGTTTAAACGAAGTTGCACAATAAAGTGCATAAAGTGATGTCGATACCATCAAGAACAACTCATTAAGAGCATATTACTGAAACAAAGTTTACTTAATGTGGCATGAATATAAAACATGAATATGTAGGCCTAGTTCTATTTTGCATTGTAAATACTCAACACGCATAATAGCTAATGTTACTGGATGTTACTCCTAAACAAAATTACAGATTATTTTAGGCTACATTTCATATTATAGATTTTTAAAGGTTTGATTGAAGTTAAAAGTTTTCATTAAGATTTTATTTGAAGTTTGTGCAACTTTGGAAAATGCACGCACATCTCCCAAACGTGTCCTCACCCAATGAGAAAACCAAGTTCATTTACAAAGTCAGCTGTGGCTTATTGTCTCAGGTGACCAATGGGAGAGGAGGTGGTTAAGACCCCAGCCTCCAACTCCGATTGATTAGGAAAACCTGTGTGGGACGGGATCAGAGTTGAGATTGGGAAGAGTTGGTGAGTTCTGGGTCATTCTAAAGGCCTAATTGATGGCAATCACACAAAAACTGCGCGCATTTCAGCACAGGCTGAAGTTGGGACGCACAATCTGAGGCTTAGAGGTTTGTTTTAGTTCGCTCATTTTAAAAAGAAAACATCTAGGCATGAAGCCACTGGTCGCCGATTATTGATTATCAAACTAGAAGTCTCGACGCTTTTTTTGTTTGAAATCCAAAGAACTTTTTTGTGGGAAGATGACGGAGAGACCGCAGAGCCCGACGGGAGCAGACTGCAGACCTTACGAGGTCAACAGGGCCATGTATCATCAAGCCCCGGGCCTGGATGGACTTGGCGGTGCGTCCTTGCAGTTCGCGCACGGCATGCTTCAGGATCCAAGTCTGCTTTTCAACAAAGCCCATTTCAACGGAATCAGCTCTGGGACACACCAAACCTTCTTCCCATTTTCTGGAGATTTTAAAACGAGCGATTTGCAAGGTAGTGATTTTGCGCAACCCAAACACTGGTACCCGTTTGCTGCCCCCGAGTTCACCGGGCAGGTGGCGGGCGCGACGGCAGCCACCCAACCAGTAAACATAAGCCCGCCTATCGCCGAAACCAGGGAACAAATCAAGATGCCATCTGAAGTAAAAACCGAGAAAGATATTGATGAATTCTCCAGTGAAGAAAACAAGCCGCCGTCACAATATCATCTCACTCCCGGTACGTCATCCGTCCCCACAGGGGTGAATTATTACGCACCCTGGAACCATTCGTTTTGGCCTGGACTGGCACATATCACGGCCCCCGCTAATATTTCTCAAGCTCCCCCGACTCCATCGGCATCATCTCCCTCTCTGTCTCCTTCCCCACCCGGAAATGGGTTCGGAAGCCCAGGGTTTTTCAACGGAGGCTCCGCGCCAAACATCTCCGGTCAGGCGCAGGGCCCAGTCAGGAGCAGCGGGTCCTCCAGTGGAGGCTGCAGTGATTCTGAGGAGGAGGTGAGGGTTTTTTTTTTTTTTAAATGTAGTTTGATTTAGATAAACTATAACTTAATATACTTAAAATTGTTTTGCTTTTTAAAAATAATAGGAGAATCTGACCACAGAAGACTTGGAGCAGTTTGCTAAAGAGCTCAAACACAAACGCATCACTCTTGGCTTCACGCAGGCAGACGTGGGACTCGCTCTTGGAAACTTGTACGGTGAGTTTGAGGACTAACCATTAGATATAAATGTATATGTGTGAAATTGTGTTTTTATTTTTATTTAACCGTTGCACTTTTATTTAGGCAAAATGTTCAGTCAGACGACTATCTGCCGCTTTGAGGCTCTCCAACTTAGTTTCAAGAACATGTGTAAACTGAAGCCACTGCTACAGAGGTGGTTGAATGAGGCCGAGAATTCCGAAAACCCGCAGGATGTAAGTACACTACATTACACTAGGGGCGCTCAAAACTGACTACCTGTCACTGAACTTCAGGATATTTACTTGAGTCACCCGTTTACAACACATGAGCTATGTGCAGAACAGTAGCCTTCATCGTTTACAATGAAACCACACTTTCCTGGCGTGCTACATTGTCACAAGACTTCATCAAAGTGCATATGATTTTAGCAAAATTATTAGAGTTATTTTTTTTCTAAATTGACAATGAAACGAGGTATGCTTTAAAGTTATGAAATGTAAATTCACTTGATCTCTTTTCTAAATGTAGCTGTTAGTGATCTTATTGTGAATGAATAAGATCTGTCATAAGTCTGTCATAACTGATTGACAGACTTCTTTGGTGATGTATGCAGGACTTATCCAATAGGATCTGTGCACAAACCCTGCTGACGTATGTCCGGTAGGATCTCAGCCAGTTTCTTTACTTCCGCATTGCGTGTTCTGCAGGCAAAGTGTATGGCAGCAAAACTTCAATAAAATTCATTTTCTCAGAAACGGAGACAACGGTTTTAGAAACTGATTTGCATTATATGAGAGAATACTCGCCCTCAACTCGCCCTAACTGCCTCAGTGTTGTTAACATTCACATTAACCGCATGAAGTTTTTGTTAACACCAACTGTAATTTGCCACTATCTCCACCTAATGCAAAACCGGCTGTAACTGGATGGGCTGCGACAAAACACGGAAGAGATTGTGCATAAAGCCATATTGTTTCTTCTGCATTAATCCCGCTCCTTTCTTGTTATTGGCTGAACGCTTGCATTAAGATCTGCCTTTGTCCAATCAAAGTCCTGTGCTTTGCCCCCCCCCCCCCCCCCTCTTTTGATGATCTACTGATACTTTGATTAGTTAGGACTACAAGGTTTTGCAATGTCAGCCTGCTTATTTCACCACAAATACGAAGTTAAAGTCTTGGCCAGTCTAGTCAGTTTTCTCACATGTTCTGTAGATTGCCTGACAGCTAAGAAAAAGTCTGGTACACTTTCAACCAAGGTGCAACTATTACAAGTTTTCCAGGTCATTTGTACACAAATTTTGATCTCTCAATGCAGTGATCGTTTTAAATGTTGAACAAGTTTGTCTTATATTTTTCAGATGTACAAAATAGAGCGGGTGTTCGTTGACACAAGAAAAAGAAAGCGGAGGACCAGTTTGGAAGGCACGGTCCGTTCTGCTCTCGAGTCGTATTTTGTGAAGTGTCCCAAACCCAACACTCTAGAGATAACGCACATATCCGACGACCTAGGCCTGGAGAGAGATGTGAGCATGCCTCAAAGTCTGTGGACCCTTCGTAATTAGTCAGTGCTTTTAAAACCCATTTGACTTCATTTTTTTTTTCTGTAGGTAGTACGTGTGTGGTTCTGCAATCGTAGACAAAAGGGAAAGCGCCTAGCATTGCCCTTTGACGACGAATGTTCCGAAGTCCAGTATTATGAGCAGAGTCCACCACCTCCGCACCACATGGTTGGCGCATCCCTCCCAGGGCAAGGCTATCCTGGACCAGCCCATCCCGGAGGAGCCTCTGCCCTGTACATGCCATCCCTCCACCGACAGGAGGTCTTTAAAAACGCTCTGCATCCCGGACTGATGGGTCACCTCACCAGCTAACCGGCTACAGATGCCCGCTAAAAGTTTATAGAAATGCTCCGAGCCAAGCTATGGGTCAAATAAGTCATACGATTTATTTTTATGTGACCATTGCATCTGTTTATTTGGTTCTTTCCGTTCATGCCTTTGGACACTCTTAATTGAATAGTGTCTGGTTTAGACTTTACCATGCACACTAGCAGCCTGATGGATCTTTGTTTAATGGGTGCTTTGTTGAATGCGTTTGCACATGAAGTCATGGGTTCAGATGATTTTTATAGTTTTTATGGCTTTTTACTCGTGTATCAGTTTTTATGTACTTATGTTTGTCTTTTATTGTTCAATATTTGGTAGCTTTGTCAATTTTCTCATTACCTTTCTGGGCAGCATATTCAAGACCTCATGAACTTGTATTTTGAGTAATTGCTGAATTTGTAAAGAGATGGATTTTTTTTTAATTTTTTTTTATTGTTTTTATTTTTTTCCAATCACAATTTGGAGACATTCAGATGGTCCACAAAGAACATCAATCATTGTTCTTTTTCTCGTATTTGCACTCTCCCATCTCCAGTAGAAAATAATTCTGTGTAATCTCTTTTTATCAGGGTAATTATATAAGAAATTTGCTGCCAGTTTAAAAAGCCTCTGTGTGGAGGTCATGTGCCTTATCTTTTGGTGTTTGTATCATGCATGCTTATCCCTGTGCAATGTAAATGAAAGCCATATCTGATAATTTATTGAAATCCTGTTCTTCAGTTAACACAATATCTTCTGGGTAACAATTAAACCATTTCCATTGACAGTCAATTCTAGTTTGTTTTGGGAATATTAGCTTTTCTTATTGTTCTCCAAAGAACAAAGTTTTGCGTCTAGAACCGACAGTTTTTGTACCAAGTGTTGATCCAGCACCAAACCCTTTATCTTTATTCTTTACCAATGACTTTAAGCCAAAATATACCAATTTAAACTAATAACTCACTGCAAACAACAAAGAAAACTTTAAAACAAGTTTATTCTCATAACAAAAGGGCACATATATAAAAGTTTTTTAAACTATTTGGTAATCTATCTTTTTGCAATCTAGAATGTAACCAATGATTTTTATTTTTGTCCAACGCTGTATAGAGCTTGAATGGGCACAGCTTCAAAAGATATTGCAAGTATTTTTTTTAGGCTAAGTGTGTGTGACTATGGGTTTGCATTTAGCCTTTCTCACCCCCAAAACAGATCTGACCGACTTTCCATGCTTCAAGAATTCATGTGGAGGATATGCATGTTGACATGAGAGGAAACAGGGTTCTCACATTGCGGTTTCAGTTTGCCACCTTGGCCTCAGCAGCGTATAGATCACGTCAGTGACGTCAGAACTTCTGTTTAATGTACTGCAGGTGCACGCCAGCAATGTGCTTCATTCAAAGGTAGGCTACCGTGACTTCAAATAAACGATTGCCTCATGTAGGCTAACGTTTTCGCTTAGGACATGGTTTTGCATTCCAACTGTTCTTTTTTTGTCAAATACCCAATAGGCGCCTATTGTTCACCATAGACCTTATTTCTGGTGATTTAGCAAAAACCCATTCAAAAATCCCATAGACTTTAGAGCGAGAGAACTGAAAGTGCTAAAATGCTAACTCGCTTCCGCGTTTTGGCCTACAAAGTGACGTGATGACTTGCACCCTTGCACTCTAACAAATCAGTTACAAAAACAAAATGACAAAAATGATTTATTTATTTTTTTTATTAGATTTCATTTTCTATGACATACTGAAGCTTTTCTCGTATTCCAATAATTCCTGGGTGAGTCAATTGACCTGCGAGTGACCAAAGTGTTACTTTTTTATTTTATATTTTATTTTATATTTGTAGGCTATCTAACTCCACACTTATTCTCACACTACACAAGACTGTAAATTTTGTTTATATTTTGCATTTTCAAATTACAAATTACTTGTATTTAAATACATTTGATGAGTAGGTGTTTGCAATTACATACTTTTTGATGCATTTGTGCCCATCTTTATTTCTTTTCTTTTTTTTTCTTTTTAAATGGCGCTTTTCACAATATAGATTTCATCAAAAAAACATAATTACAAACATCCACGATTTGTAGAGCTGATTAAGGTTAATTACTGATTGGTTAATTAATTTGAATATCCCCAGCTGAGCAAGCCAAGGCAACAGTGGCAAGGAACTGAAAAACTCCATCTCTGTGTGTCCTGTTACGTTACCATTTTCTCCAAGCTCAGATCCTCATAAACCTTTTGAGTTGGAAATTTTCCAAAGGTGGGACAGATATTGCACAATCTCTCTCTCCAGTCTGTATATAGTTTGACTGTATAGTCTTGTCGCCAGGTAAAATATGAACTATACTTCTTTGGATCTTTAGTTAGACCTCTCAGGTACTCAGCCAGGGCCTTAACAGACTTAAAATCATCCACATGGATGAAGGATTTAGAAGGCGCCACAGCTTCATAGTCTCTGCGTGGCGGGCCCAGCACCACAGGTACGGCCCCAGCCTGGAAGGCGTTTCTCCACAGTTTCTCTGTGATATAGTGCGGAGATATTGTGTTTTCAAAGGCTAGGTAGAAATAACAGCGGGAAATCGTTGGGAGCAGGGCCTCCTTTGGTAGTTTTTTTTTAGCGAAAAGGCCATACAATTGCACATTGAGGGTCTTGTTCAGCTCCTGGAAAACTGCACTCCTCCTGTGGCTTTTCTGGTAGTTACTAACCACCCAACAGGCTTCATAGCTCTTGTTTGTTGGGATAACAAAGTCTAGACCTGGTTTCTTCCTCTGTAACAGCTTCCCGTAGGGCACAGTGATGTCAGCATGAGGGTGATATGACATGGTGAGGTTGAAAAGGTTTTTGTATTGCGACAAGATGCCATTGTTTTGTGGTGCTTCTAACGAAAGCCATACCCACCTCTGTTTGGCGGGCCGATGGAGATTTACTGGAAGATGTTCTCTCCGCAGCTTCAGCTCACAGTTATGAAAGACTATCAGATCGGCGCTCTCGTTGAGACTGCGATTGTCCACTAGCACACATCCAGAGATGCCGTAGTCCCTCAGACACACGTTCCCCGCAAGGCTGTACCGGATACCGTACGGCCAGTGCCACAAAAGGATGGTGATATTGTTTGTGATTGACGTATTGCTGCCATTGAGCTGTTGTTTATCAACCAATAACAACACACTGTAGCCAACGAAGCTGATGGTCAGGAATACAATAATGAGAGTCTTGGCGAGTTTCTTTATCCATCTCCACATCCATCTTATGCTGGAGCCCATTATTATGCTGTGGAAGTAGCAGAACTAGATGTTAGTTTGTTTTTTTTCTTAAATTTTTGTTGGAGGTTATGCAAGAACTTAGTCTACAACTTGGGGTTTTGTCAGTCAGGATCCATGACATTTTTCCTTTCTGTAGATGACAAGTGGAGTGACCCATAGAGGGAGCATTTCTTCACTCAAGCAGAATCCTTGCATCTTTATCTTTATTGTGCTTTCTCTGTCTATTATTGAAGAAATTGTAATGCAAGTATTAATAACAATAATACTTTGTTACTTTATATGGCACCTTTCTGGGTACTCAAAGCGGTTTACGTGGATTGGGGAATCTCCTCAACCACCACCAATGTGCAGCATCCATGTGCAGCATCTGGTGGAGAGGAGACAGTGATGAAGCCACTCAGTATATGGGGATGATTAAGGCCATGATGGACAGAGGCCAAGGGGCAAATTTGGCCATGATGCCGGGGTTACACCCTACTCTTTTTCGAAATACATCCTATGGGATTTTTAATGACCACAAAGAATCAGGACCACGGTTTAACGTCTCATCCGAAGGATGGTGCTTTTTGACAGGCTGGTGCCCTCGTCGCTGTACTGACCCACACAGACCACAGGGTGAGCGCCCCCCTGCTGGCCTCATTAACACCTCTTCCCACAGCAACCTGATTTTCCACTGGTCTCCAGGGACCAGGCTCAGCCCTGCTTAGCTTCAATGGGCAACCAGTCTTGGGCTACAGGGTGATATGGCTGCTGGCAAGTGATGTTAAAGTTAAGACTTGCACTTCAGGAAGTAACACATTTTCACTATTTGCCAGAAGTGGCATCTCTGGACGCAAATGGTCTTTGTTTCCTGTTTACACTTCTGGGCTTCAGGGTCTATACGATTGCCCAACAATTGATTGAGTAATTGTGCAAAAAATATAAATTTTTAATCATACAAATAATATATAATTTTTTTGTTTACTTCTCATCTAATCATTAATGCTGTGTTTTTGGAGATATAAAGTACTTTTGTAGCCATATACCACATAATTCCTCAACTACATCATTAGCTTGCATATGAAATATTATTTTTATGATACATTGTATTTATGCTCTAGTACTAGGCCTTCATTTTTGTGTAAAAATCTTCAGATTTATGCCAGATTTTTATTTATTTATTTGACACGTGAAGAAAATATATTTAGTTTTTTTCACATTTCCCATTCATTTTAATGTGGGGTCATATCGACCCTGAAGACCAGAAGTGTAAACATTTTTTTTTTTTAAATACCTTCAGAACAACCGAATTAAGCCTAGTTTGTTTTGTGTGTGTATAGATAGATAATCAATGAAAATCACAAAATCTTATTCCACTGAGATGAAGGGAACCTTTTTATTTATTGAGTAAAAGTCAATTGGGGTCGTATAGACCCCATGACCCGATTGAGCAGTCGTAAAAAGTTATGCTATTCACACAGAGTTTTAATAGTGCTAGACACTTTTTGCAACAGGTAGCCTATAAATAGCAAAAAATAGCATCTACAACAAATAGTAATATTTGTATTGAAGCTAAAATATCAAAGCTGCGAGCTGCTTCCATACTATACTTCCCTACTATAAAGTAGGCAAAAACAGAAGGCCTTTGTGACAAAAGAAATATATTAGAATTCACAGTACTCATGAATTAATAGGCAAAAAGTATCCAATGGATGACCAATTATTTATGGCGCATACTTTCCCACACTGGATGCTGGTAGGTCTTATATAATAATGGCAGCATGTTGAATGTAGTATGTCCACATTGACACACATTCATATATAATGAGGATATAGTGGTTGTGAAGTAATTACTTATTCAAAACAGTACTTCTTTAAGAGAGTATGCGATTTTGTGCTTAATTTTAATTACCAAAAAAGGTTTTAAATATTTTGTTTTAGTATTATTTGACAAATGTCTATTCTGAAATGTGTTTTAAATCATTCAGCTCAAGATAAAGACTCCTGTCACGCTATTAAACATTAAAGCTGTTGTGATGTTTTATCTCGATCATCAGATTAAGATTTTACAGTGCTGATGCTTTTCTGTAATGTAAGTATAAAAAGAAAGTATAAGACAAATGGATATGTGTAAAAATGCAGATGATCTAAAGAAAAACATAAGTGTGTTAAAGATGAAAGTGTCTTACCTGTGTCTTTGAGGAACGTGGCTTGTGGGGAAGACCACAGTTGTCGTGTCCTTCGAGAAACAAAGTGATGTGGGGGTTTGGTAATTTAATGATGGAGAGATTTGCGAAATTACTTATAGGAAACAAGAGCTTCCTGTTGAGATCATATGTTATATGTTTTTCCACCCTTTCACCTCATCTTCTCCTCCCATTTTTCATGTCCCCTTGATCCTTAAAGCACCTAACTTTAACATGCCACATCTGATTATTTACAGGTCAAGTTCGTAGAGTGTTACCTTCTAATAATTGGTCATTCTTTTTTTTTTCTTCTTCTTTTTTAAATGTGATGATCTTTGCTTTCACCATAAAATTGTAGAAGAGCAAGATATATGAAATGTGGTGCATTAGCTTTTGCCAATCAAGCATGTATCAGTGCATGTATCTGTGCTGTTATGTGGTTGTGGCTTCTGAATTGTACTGAGGGCACTGAAACACACTACAGGAAAAGGAAGTGAGTGGTTTTGAAACTTCTCTCTCACACCTTCATCCTCTCCTGTGCCTTTTTAAATAGAGAAGTAAAAAGTTAACTGTTGCAAAAACTGTTTGTCGTCCCCCAAGAAAGAAATTAAAAGAAAGTAAGAACTCTTAAGTAAGAAATACGAGTAAATAAGAATGCAAGTGATATATGATGATATATGTATAATACATTTTACATTTTCCTATTATTTGGAATCTCATAAATTGTTGGTTAAAAGAGTCTTTCAAGAACATGAAAAGAGAGAGTCTAAAAGGCAAGAAAAGATTAGATAAAACACTTTCCACTTTCAATAGTGTTTTCAGAATCTATAATCACTTAATCAAGCATTGCATCATATAGCCTACGTGCTGAAAATAATAGCTTGAGCCCAGCATGACCTTATCAGCTGATGTTCCTTTTGGTAAACAATGTTGACCAATGCTTTCTTGCAATATTGTAGTCCACACAAAAAGTGTGTCGCCATTTCAAATCTCTGTGAAATGATTTATTCTGTGGAACACAAAAGTGCATTTTGTCCATCACTGAGAGTCAAATGTTGCTTTAGACTCCACTGCCTTTAATTACATGTCAAAAACACCTGAACATATCTTCAAAATGTCTTATTTTTTGCTCCACCGAAGAAAGAAGATCATACAAGTTTGAGATGGTCCTCACTGCAGAACATGAAATCCACGAGGAGGAGTCGGAAGATCCAACTCCTCCTACCTACCCAGCTCCACCCCCTGATCCCTAATCCCACCCCTTAACCTACCCAACTCCACCCCTCAGATCTGGATCCGACTCCGCCCCCTGGATCTTGTGTACTGCAATGAGGTGCTACTGACAAGTTTGGAACGTCATGCGTTTTCATTTTGTTTTCTCCGAATGTGCACTTTCGGTCACTCAGAGTTACATAACCCAAACTTAACACTAGATGGCAGTGGTGCTTTTTCAAAGAAAACGTGCAAAAATTACCCTTGAACTCTCATCATTGGATTGAGGTAGGCTATTCTTTTTTTTTTTTACAGTCTATGGTATATTCATTCACATCTATTAAAATGTATTGTGTGCTGTTTAAAAGTCTATAATGAAGTCATTGTAGGTTAATTCCAGGTGATTTATCAGATTAGTTCGTTTGTGTTTATTTTTACATTGGAGTGACAGAAATGAAGGTAGCCTATCACTGAACATAGTTCTAAACGCACTTCTTATTAACTAACCTAACGCATCCATTAACCACCAAGTACAATGCAAATTTCTACATGTTTAGATTATTGCCTGTGTGTGTGTGTGGTTCAGGTAGCCTACATCATGGAGACAAATTGTCCCCACAAAGATTACATAATTTAGTAGGAGAATAGGCCTATTATGTAAAGTGAATGATATTATACCTTGAAATAGCTTTTTTCAATAAATAATACATACATTAATTGTTAATAATGTAATATTACTATAGGCTATATTAAGATCTTATAAAAACACGAAGAAGCGTTCAGAACATTTTTATTATTTTAATATGTATTTAATTTTTCTCCATGACATTAGATACAAAGTTGCCATATTGTGACAATATGATTATAATGTTTGGGTGATACCCTATTTTTTCCAGATTAAAACTGGTTCAGTTGAATTCATAACTAATAGTTAAATGACTCATACTTTTTTGAATAAAGACAGTGTGGTGATTCAGTACATTCATTCTCTGTATTAACATGTAGCAGGTTGTGCCTCAGATGCCAGTTATTAACAAAAGTCTACACACCCCCTGCCCTTAAAAGGATAGTTCACTTTGAAATGAATTTTTGACATGTTTTAGCTTACCTCAAGGGCATCCAAGATGTAGGTGTCATTGTTTCCACAGTATTTTCAATTTTGATATTTTTAGGTCAAACCGTTCTTGTCTGTCTGTCATATATGGAGTCCACCTCAAATCATTAAGTTTAAACAGTATGTATTCAAATGAATGATTTGTCATACACTGTCAGAGTTTTGATGTCACACCTCATACTTCTCTCCTGAATATCCTCATTCTCACACACATTCCTCAGATCAAGGGTCAAAGCACTTCAACACTGATTTAGGCTACAGGAAATTAAAGTACCGTTACAGTTTTCATGGCACAAAATGGTTACCATACACTCTTAAAAGTGAGGCTTCCAAGAGTTAAGGTTTTAAGACAGAGATTTCACAGCAATGCCATATAGAAGAAAAAAAAAAACATGTTGGGTTTCCCAAAGAACTATAATAATCTAAAGAACCCTTTTCCTCTAAAGAACCTTTTGTGCAATGGAAAGGTTCCATGGATGTTAAAGGTTCTTTATGGAACTATTTATGCCAATAATATTTAACCATAGACGATTTATGATACTTTTCATAGTTAGTCTAGTCCAAAAATGAAAATCTGTTATAATTTGCTCACTTATTTTTACACAAAATGTATCAGAATGTTAGTACTGCTCTTTTCCGCATCTTACATTTCAGTCTTATCACACAGCTTTTAGGGAAACTCAGAGAGTAAAATGAATCATTTGTATAATTTTACCTTAATTTTTGAAATTTGGTTGCCGTTCACTTTTATTGTTAGCAAAAGAGTAGTGTGAACGTCCTGCCAAACATCTCCTCCTTTGGTCTTTGAAAGAAAAACAAAATCATGGCGTGGTTTCACAGACACACAGGGCTTAGATTAAGCCAGGATTAGGCCTTAGTTTAATTTAGACATTTAAGTAGCTTTTATAAACGTCCCTTAGAAAAAAAAAACATTAATGGTGTGCTTCTCGAGACAAAACAATGATCAGTGCAAGTCAGTGCAAGTTTCTTTCAGTTAAAACATCTCAAACATGCAATTTTAGCCTGGGACTATAAGCCTTGTCTTTGAAACGGGGGGTACGTGTGTTTGGAACAACGTGACAGTGTGTAAATGATGACAGATTCTTTTTTTATTTTTGGGTAATAAGATTACTAGACTGTAATAGACTGCACTGGGAGTGAAGAATGATGGGACAAGCACTGAGCAGTTAAGGGAGAAACTCACAATGACTAAAGCAGCAGAGAATGAAGGAAGATACCGGTTGGACAGGTTCGGCCAGTGGGCTGGTATTCTGAACTCTCAAGACCGGTGGGGTGTGGTAGGAGTTTGGGTTCTAAAAGGAAATGATAGAAACTGCGCTTTGAGGGAGGAAGAAGAAAAGGAGCTGTTTTCACTGCTATCGATACAGTTTTAATTTTTCAGAGTTCAAAGGAGGAGACAGAAATCGTGGAAGGACTGCTATAAACTGACCTCATTCTCCTGAGATCCTGGGCAACTGAGACACCGAAGAAAGAGGAGGAGGTAGAGGATGGCAGAATCAGCAAAGATTGAACTTTTTGTCAAGGTCAGAGTTTAATTGCTTACTTCCAGATGTCACATATATGACAACTGTTGTCATTTCTTAAATATGTAAGACCTAAAAATGTGTCTCTTGTTTACTCGTATCTCACCCTTGCTCAAAATGGTTGTACTTCCAATCATTCCTTACATAACCCTGTCAATTGTTTGAAATTCATTGATCTTGTTGAATTTAGGACTAACAAGGGTGAAATTACTTTAAGTAACAAAACCATGAACGTTTTGCTAATGTTTTAGTACTTTTTCAGGAAGCAATTCCATGTATCTTGATGTTCGTTAACTCATTTCCATCCTAGGAGTTTTAACACTTTACTTACTGAATGTTGTCTCTAGGCAAGCGATGATGGTGAAAGTGTTGGTAACTGCCCGTTTTGTCAGCGGCTCTTCATGATACTCTGGCTGAAGGGAGTCAATTTCACCCTCACCACAGTGGACATGAAGAGGTGAGAGATGCCGTTCTTCTTATTTCATATGGCTCAGTTTCTTAGAAAAGGATTTTTGCCTTGTAGGAAGGGAAATACATTAGAACTGATTCAATAGTCTAGTCCCTGAAAATGTTTCATTACTATAACAAAATGTGTTGTTTTATTTATGTTTTCTTTCTTTGTAGAGCTCCAGAGGTACTAAAGGACCTGGCTCCAGGTTCTCAGCCCCCTTTCCTCATCTATAACGAAGAGGTCCGTACTGACACCAACAAGATCGAAGAGTTTCTGGAAGAGACCCTTGCGCCCCCACAGTGAGTATGGATTCATGACTGGTCCAAAGATGTCAAGCATTTTGCTAGTCAAATTCAGTGATGCATTACTTTTAAAAGTAATGCATTACAATATTGTTTTACTCCCTAAAAAAGTAACTAACTGCTTTACTTTTATGTTACTTATGTGTTGCTTTAATCAACATTTGGATGGGCTTGCTTTGTTTGTTTTGTAATAATAATAAAAAAGTTTTTTTTTTTTTGCAAATGTAAAGGCTCTTTCACACTAAAAGTGAAATGAATAAGCCTCAGTTCGAAGGAAATGCAAATGTACGCATGTACAGTAGAGGGCGCAGCTCAAACAAAACTTTTCAGCTGTGCTTCCAATCTGAACTGCAGAAGAAAATGATTGAGTAGAAAGTTTAAAGGAGCTGTATGCAATACATTTATTTCAATTAATCATACATTTTCCCTGATATGTTACTAGACATTAAGAAATCATGTTCATTTAAAATACTTATATCACTGACAACAGTAGTCCGGCCAGGATATTGTTCAAAAGTCGCAGCCCTTGACTGATGTTGATATTGTCAAGTCGTGTTTTGTTCTGATGCGTCACCCTCCACTGATCTACCAATCACGGACTCAGTAGTGTTGCGGCATTCAGGTTGCCAGCTCTTCTCTAGTTACCACATGCTGCAGATACAAACGTTGTAACTTTGCGAAATTGTAACGCTGCGAAACCCCAAAAAACTCGATACGAATCCGAAATACTTTGTTACAAAGTCCGAAATAAATAATTAACAGCAAAAAACTCACTGTGTAGGACTCGTCACGTGCAATTGGAAGCTTCTTGTAGCAGCCAACATTCCTGCTGGAACCTGCAGCATATCTGGCAACCTTGACGTCATGGGGGAAGGCGGGGAAGGCAGGGATACCCCCTGATTTGAAAGTGATTGCAGTACCAGTTTTGGCCACAATCTTGCATACAGCTCCTTTAACACTCTCATTTGCAATAAAAGCTAAAATTGAAACACAAATATGATGTTTATCTAAAGTAATTTTTGCTTATTCGCATGATTGAATTGGATCATCAAAGGTCCGGAACAAAGACATTGGCTAATAAAGTGAGGTTAAATACATTAGTGTATGTGTTGTAAATTAACATTTAATTTTTGTTAAAAATTGTTTCTTAGTTATTGGACACTTAGGCCCTCTCAAGTCATAATCTGAATACGATGAACTTGTAATCACGACTTCAGAAGTGGGAAATAGGAAAGTAATGTGTTACTTTACTAGTTACTTGACAAAAGTAATCTGATTACTTAACTTGTGTTACTTGTTATGCATTAACCCCAACACTGGTCAAATTTGCTCCTAAAATATTGAAGAATTCCTGAAAGGAAATGTATCTTACTGATTGTTCAAAATTGACATGACATGAAATATAAAGGTTTGCACCGTTTTTGCATTGCAGCTATCCCAAGTTATGCTGCCGCTATAAGGAGTCTAACACGGCTGGAGATGACATCTTTCACAAATTCTCGGCTTACATCAAAAATCCCAATCCTGGGCTCAATGACAGTAAGGGTCACCCTTCTCTAAAGTTTTTTGGCCAGTGAACAGTGAAGTCTGTATCAGAAGGCATTAAAACTCAAGATATTAGCTTTAAGGCTTAATGTCATTTTGTGTTTGAAATATGGGGGCTGTCACATCAAAATTGATATAAGACATAGATAGATGGTGAATGGATGGATGGATGGCCACAAAATATTGAAAATTTGTATTTGAATCTCAACACCTTAATGGTTGTGTACATTTCAGTGCTGGAGAAGAAATTTCTGAGGAGTTTGATGAAGTTGGATCAGTACCTGTTGTCTCCCCTTACTCATGAACTGGACCAGAATCCGGATTTAGCCCAATCCACAAGACATTACCTGGACGGAAATTCGCTCTCTCTTGCTGACTGCAACCTGCTTCCAAAATTACACATTGTCAAGGTTACTAATCTTTTTCTCATTTAGACAGCAATGTAGTAATATTGTAGTGCTCATATAAAACAGTGTACTGCTGTTTACTGTAAGTGAAATCACTTCCTCTACACTAACAGTCTTCAATTAAACCTTCATCTATTTAAAATTGAAATATTTTGCTGACTTTGTAGGTAGTTTGCAAGAAGTACCGTGGTTTTGAGATCCCTAGAGAGCTAAAAGGCCTGACAAAGTACTTGGACAAAGCGTACAAAGAAGATGTGTTCCACCTCACCTGCCCCAAAGACAAGGAGATCCTGCTTGCCTACCATTCAGTGGCCAAATATCTCAACAAGTAGAACTGGACTTCAAAAGAGGAGGAGGACAAAGATTGTGTGGAATTTATTGTACATTTTTAAATATATGTCTAATGCCCCAAACTGCCTTTATTATGAATGTATTCCTAATGGGGACTTTAAAAAAATCTGAATATATTGGTGGAGGTTGTTTTCATTATTTTTTTCATTTGTGAATATCAGATGCCTGCCTTGCTTGTTCCTGCCATTTTTTTTAGTATTTAAATGTATATTCGTCTGTGGTTTTGATGGATTACTTTTGTTTGATAGCCAGAAACGTCCGTGAATGTTGTGTTTGAAGGCCGTGTGAAATGAGACATGTAATTGGTCTGAAATTCTACTACCCATGAGAAAAAAGAAGACAAAGCACTAGACAACCTCTACAGTGATGTTATTGATGTCAAATTTTAATGTTTGTAAGGAATGTCCAGTATGTATAAAAGAGCTTGCTAACAAATAAAAATTGTATGGAAGAAAGGTGCTCTGTTTGATTGAATTTGGTCAAGCTAGCTAAACAGAAATGTACACTGAATCGACACACACACAAAATAAGTAGCCTAATATTATTGGGGAAGTTATGCATACATGCATACTTCCTCAAAATATGTATACAGTGTTCTGGCTGTAAATCATTTTTTATTTGCATTTCATGTATGTCATACAGATATTGTATAATATTTTAAATAAACAAACAACAACGGTATCAGAGCATGTAATATTTCAATATTATGTGACTAATTAAAATGTAATTTAACTATTAATTAAATTATTTTTTTTATTATACACTCTGAAAAATGCTGGGTTGTTTTAACCCAAATTTGGGTCAAATATGGACAAACCCAAATGTTGGGTTAAAAATGTAATTTAAACATTTAACCCAATGGCTGAATTTGTCCATATTAGATCCAAAGATGGGTTAAAACAACCCAGCATTTTTAGAGTGTACTCTACCACCCATTTCCCATTGGGGTTAGCATGTGTACCGTATCTGTCTGACCGTATGTTGTTTTTGCATGTAATTAAAAAAAATAGTCAAACAACAGTGGTTCCGATTGGCCTCTTCGTGTTGTTTGTAGCCAATGAAATTGCATATCACTGCCACGTGAAGGACTGTTAAGGAAATAGCAGAGATTTGACTTCATGGGGCGTAAAAGAAGCTGCCAAAGTTTGCAATGGAGTGAAATTTGTGTGGAAATGACAGGGAAGTGACCCAGCTAGCAGCTGCGGTATAAATAAAAGGATTATTTCAGCATCGTTCTCCAATTTCGCTGTCTTTAGTAAGTAAGCTACTGTTTGTTAGCTAATTAGCATTTTACACTGTCACGCATACACCACCTGCTAAACAGGTGTTTTTGTAAGATGTGCTGGTTTTATTGGTATTTTGTGCTAAAATAGTCTAAACCTAAAACAGAATTAATCTGTTTCTATAAGTTGGCGTGGTTGTTTAGTTTACACATTAAATAACGTTAGCTGTAACGCCCATAACATTAATGCATGTCATCACTGACTGCTCTAATGACAATAGAAACACTGCGTCATATTTAACTCGCATGCTTATTTTTCCATCGGATTATCTCGAAAATGTTTTTGCAAAGGTATGTCAACTAAAGCTAAACTAAAACAGAAGTTTACTTCCAGAAAAGTTGGAGCTCAGACTTCATGACTGTTTTCATGAATGAATGACAGCTTGAGAACATGATGCAACTAAATGGATTCTCATAAAATTGAGTGACTTTGTCTTTTTAGAAATGGGAGATGAGCTGGAAGATGAAGCACAGTGCCTGTATCCTGTAAGTATCATGGATCTCAACATGTCATTTTTGTTGCAGTTGATTTGCTATGCATGTGAATGGATCATGTGTGTTGTGTACTTATTTTATTCTGTAAAACTAAAGAACAAATAACACAGACATGATAAACAGAAAGACAAGTAAGTAATACCAATATAGATCAAGTAATGTTTAACATGTATCCGATTACTACATATAAAAAATGAAGATGAACATTTATTTTGTTCAAAGGGATTAGTCAGGATGGGAAATGTGTTCTACATGTATTTATATTTAAGAATATGTTTCATGATATTCTGCCATAAAGAAAAGAAAACTTTTAAAAGATGACTATTATAAATAAATATACAACAATAAAAAAACACTACTTATGTGATTTCTTTTTAATTGTTTGGCCACTCCCTGTTTATTTGAAATGTACAGACTTGAGAAAGGATTAAAAAAAAGAGACTAATTTCTCTTTTGGCGAACGATCCCTTAAAAAAAGAATGCTGGATTATGTATTGAGCAAATTGATCCCTTTATTTTTTGCAAAGGGAAGTACTTTTGAGGTTTTGTGCAAGACAGAAAGGAGCTGAACAAACACTTTACCCTTTGAGTCTCATCTGACCCTGGTATGGATAAAAGAAACCCCACATGAGCGTGTTTTTTTTCCCCCAAATTGTATTGTTTTGTGGAACAAACGTAAATTAATTATAAATGCACTTTTTATAAATACAAAAGAGTGTTTTTTTTTTTTTTTTGTTTTTTTTTTAACCAAAACTCTAGCAGTGTGTATGACTGGTTGTTGTATATTGATACTGTATGTATTTCCTCAGGCTATTGGGAGTGAAATTCGTTTCCGCCTGCAGCAGTTTGTGGAGGAGAGGATGCAGACAACAATGGTACAGAAACAATGTGTTCCCTAAATTATTTTGGAAAACTGTCTTATCCCTTATTACTTTCCCATGTGAAAGGAAATACACTGAACTGGCTCAGATCAGCTGTACAGATTATGTAACAAGTGACAGACATTTAAAATGCTTAAGTTCATCAGGTTTGTGTTGACCGATACACTGTTTAATCAGATTATAATTTCTTGCAGTGTTTTTGCCAGTATTATTTGCTATATTACTGACGGCATGTGCTTGTTTTGTTTTGTCAAGTCCAGTTGCAGAGGATGATATTTTTCATCTTTCAGTTTTCCTATAATATCAGATAAATCTCCTTATCTTATAAATCTGTAACTGTTGTCTGTTCCAGCTGACGGGTGTTTTGATCGGTGCCGTGGTGGCTGTGTGTCTGATAGGAATCTCTGTACTTCTCCTCTACCGCAGATATAAACTGGCGAGTGGGTTTCCCTTTCGTTTCCAAATTGTGTTGTTTTCAGTGTGTTGCTCAGCTCTGATTCTTGAATAAGTTTTGTGTGGGTTCAATATGATGGAGGTGCTCACGTGATGTCTGCATTCACTTGATCAAATATACAATAAAAACAGTAATATTGTAAAATATGTTATGTGTAATAATGTATATTTTAATATATTGTAATATTGAGACTGATTCTTCAGAAATCATTCTAATATGCTGCTTCAGTTAAACTTTTTACTTCTAATCAATGTTGAAAACATGAAAAGTCAACATGAAACAGAAGTTGCGATAGTTTTTTCTTTCCTATTGTGACGTATTTCAAGTGGCACTCAGTACGGTTTGTCTCGCTTCGCCTTTCCACTGCGCGGTACGACTCGGCTCGGCACAGCTCAGTTCGCTTTAGCTCGGTTTGCTTTTCCACTGCAGTTAGTACCGCTTTAAAGTGGGTGGGTTTATAGTCTGAACGTTATAGTTTATCCGCTCCTCGGCAACCAACGAGAGGAACGTCTGCACTTCGTCCACGATTCAGCCATTTGTTTTTTGGAATTTTTCTTTCTTTCTTTTTTCTTCAAGCAAGTCAAGCAAGTAGTTTTAAAACAGGTGCTACAGCGGTGGCTATTACTGGCTATTTAAATCTAGCGGGTTTGATGTCTTGCAAATACAGTGATGCTGGTAGTGACGATTCTGTCTGACTGACCAATCAGTGGTCTACAGTGTGCTCACATCACATTTCACTATCGGTACGGTACTAGCTGTACCGTACCATACCATGCAGTAGAAAAGCGCCAAAGCGCGCCGTACCGAACCGTGCCATACCATACCATGCAGTGGAAAAGCGCCATAAGTGAAACAGCTTCTTAAACAAAATGTATGACGGGACTCTTGTCCACTTGGATTTGATAGGATCGTTGTGGTTTGCTTTTGCTGCGATCTCGTGTCCCCAAATGTCCCCAAAAAAGTGATTTTTCTTTTATTGAAGATTACAAGGGCACATAAAAAATGCATAATTAACCAACTAAAACCAAAATAAATCATGTATATAATACACACTGCAATATTCTTTTCAAATTGTTTATTTCATGGTGACTTTAATATTTTGTGGATTTGTGGAGGATTTTTTTTGTTGAGCAAAAAGTTTAAAAGTTTGAACTTTTTATTTGTAATGTTATACGTCTTTACTGTCACGTTTGATCGATTTAAGGTGTCTTTGTTTCCACAGTATTTTCAATTTTGATATATTTAGGTCAAACCGTTGTTTGTCAGTCATATAATGTAAGTCTATGGGGATCTCCTAAAAGAGCATGAACAGAGAAGTCCAAATTAAACATGATTTAATGACTCGTAAATGTAAGTACACATTGATGGCCTAAGACACGAAATGAGTGGTTTGTGTGAGAAAACGAACAGTATTTATATTGTTTTTACCTCTTGTAACCATAGCCATGTCCAAGACTTGCATTATATGACTGACAGACAAGAACTGTTTGACCTAAAAATATAAAAATTGAAAATACTGTGGAAACAAAGACACCTGCATCTTGGATGCCCTTGAGGTAAGCTAAAACATAATAAAAAATTAATTTCAAAGTGAACTATCCCTTTAAGTCCTTTAAAAAATGTTCTTATCTCCCTGACCCCAAATTTTTAAACTGCAGTGTATGTGTTGAGCAGTTTGCTGGAATCTGATTATGCATTTGCTTGTGTGTATTTTAAGGTCAACAGGCTGATGTTCCTCGCTATCGCTTCAGAAAAAGAGATAAAGTGCTCTTTTACGGCAGGAAAATCATGAGAAAGGTGAGTCACATCTTGCTGAAACCCATTAGCTTTCCTGTGATTTGCACCCTGTTTTAGCTGCTGATTAATGGTCACATTCACAGTAGTCTATTTGTGCTCCAAGATAAATAGCTGATTGTTCAGACTGTGACTCTGCAGAGACTTGTTCCACAAATACTCATTTATTGGTGTAATTAAAATGTACATCATCAGCTAAAGGTTTAGTCTTCCTCCTTTAGAGGGCAGCATAGATTGTGGAATATCCTGAACATGTGCCACAGTTCATAACCTGTATGACTAATAGCCTGATATATTTATTTACTATCCATCCTCCACTTGGTTTGTCTATTTCTATATTTCAGGTCCAGACCTTGTCCTCGACACCAACCTCCTCTTCGGTGTCTAAGCAGCGCTCTCGGAAGAGACCTAAAGTTCTAAGTATAGCACGCAGGTATGTTTAGATCTCGTATTATCACCCACACATTTAAGTCAGAAGCTGTCCAATCAGTGCCTCTGCTTTGAATCCTGCTATGATGTCATGCAGGATCCTGCGGATCAGGAAGGAGCCACCCACTTTGCAGCCCAAAGAACCCCCTCCCTCTCTCTTAGAAGCAGATCTCACCGAATTTGATGTGCAGAACTCAAATCTGCCCTCAGAGGTGCTCTACATGCTCAAGAACGTCAGGTGAACGACTCTTGACACTTACATGATCACAGCTGAACTGCAAATCACATTATACATTTTTCAACCTAGTGGAATGCTGGTGTTCTTCTAAAGTTGAACGTTAATGCATTTCAGGGTACTTGGTCATTTTGAAAAGCCCTTGTTTTTGGAGCTGTGTCGACACATGGTGTTTGTGGAGCTGCAGGAGGGAGAGGGGCTGTTCAAACCAGGGGATGATGATGACAGCATTTATGTGGTTCAGGATGGAAGGCTTGAGCTTTGCATTCATGAATTTGTAAGGATGAGCCATGGGAGTACCTTTTCAAATTCACAGACTTCATTAGAGCACTGGTTTAGGGAATGTTAACAGTTAACTTGGTCATCAACCTCATGCACACTAATGCATTTAAAAGTGTACTATTAAATTGAATTAATTATTGTAATGATATTTATTTGTATATATTTATATAAATTAAACAAAATATAAAAAGTAAATTATATATGATGCATATTATAAAGTGTGGAAAAAGTTGCTCAGCCCTAGACTACCAATCATATATGAATAAATAAATAAATATATTAAATTAAATTATGCATTATTCTAAAATATAATTATGTATATTAAAGCTGCATTCCGTAACTTTTTTTGGGATAAAAATAATAAATTGAGCAAGTACATAACCACCCCGTGTTCAAAACTGTCTGCTTGCTGTAGCTCGATTCAAAACGGTAAGCTTGTAATAATGTTTTTAGTTCCAGTGGTACTGGTGAATTTCTGCGGGAAATTTGAGCATGTCTTTGCGTGTCACATAAAGGAGTAGTTGAATTCCGGCGTTACCCCTTTAGTAAACCACAAGCGTGAGCAGCCCATATTTTTTCGCCTTGCACGTTAATCAAAGGAGTGCATTCACACCGGGAGCAGGAGCAGCGCGTGAGCAGCAGTGAAGCGGTTTCTGCGACCGTGTCTATTTTTGCTGTGCTGCTCACACTCAAATAAAATGAAAGCACAATTTTGATGAAGGAAAAAAAAGGATTTAAAAGTGCAAAATGCACAGAATTTGCATTTGTCGTGTGTTTTAACAAGAACTGGAGTAGGCTATGTCAGAAAAGAAAATGTACCCATTTAAACTTGTTTTTATTATTGAGTTTGAGTAAAAATATATGGTGTTTTATATATATATATATATATATATATATATATATTTAATCGGCAGGTCAAACTCAATGAAAATCGGAATCGGCCTAGAAAATTGTAATCGGTGCTAGGATCTCTAGTTGGAGGTGCAGATTTAAAGCCTTTTCTCATAGCGCTTGTTATAATAAAACGCATCAATTTGATGGCGGATCCAGAAAGGCTCAAACGATGATCACCAGTGACAACTAGAGATTCACCCGTTGTAAAATGCAAAAGACTTCGTTCTGACTTCGGAGTGGCTATAGAAAAAAAGAGACTGCAACCTGACCCATGCGAAAACAAGGGTACATATCAGAAAAACATTACATGTAGTTACGCAATGCTGATGTTGTTAACATTAACAATTTGAGAACAAAGTATCATTTGCACAGTTTAACGTGATATGATAAGCGATCGATTTAATCAGCGCGATTTACTGCAATGCTTTTTTTCCCCTTAGTTGGTCAGAACAGAAGTGGATGTTACTTTTTCGATGGCATTTTCTGGTGAAAATTCTTATGTTGGTCATAAAGTAATTTCAAAAAAAGAATCTGTGATTCTGAATGTCAGTATCCACACCGGCACGGTGACTTGACAGCCGCACATTATCCTCAAAACATTGGATTCATCAGAGCTGTGCCGTGTCGAGGCACAACCCACGTAAAGTTGATAATTCCGTGAATTACTGCAATTGCAGATTTCGAACAGAGATGGCAACAAAGAGTAAAAAATTACGGACTGCAGTTTTAATTATATTTGAAAAAACAACTTAATCCAAAGCGCCTATTTATTTAAAATATTTATTTGATCATGTTTACTTAAACATCTGAGCAAAATGGTTAATGTAAAATATGTATAATATTAAAAATACATAAATAATAATAAAAATATATATAGTGTGTAAATGTATGCGAGAGAGAGAGAGTTAAATATGTCTTTTTTAAATTGCTACAGTTTCAATAGATAAACAAGCACTAAACCCAGGTTATTAATGGCTGTGGGTGTACAATTTTAATTATGAAAATACAACTAATAAAATAGTGTTTGATTGGGTCCAATAAGTTTTATTAATGATCAGGTCTGTTAACAGAAATGGTATTGGTACGAAACCTACAGCAATTGATTCATGAACAATTCATTTCCTTGATTAAGACGCTTAACCTCTGGTTAATCTAGGGGGTCTGTCCCTGCAATAAATTCCCTGTAGGTCACTTTGAATAAGAACTGTCAGCTAAATGGCAAATGAGTAATTAAACTTAGTGCCCCCCCTAATGTTGTCAAATTCTCCATTGGGGTGTGTGTGTCTTTCAGGATGGCACAGAGCCTGTGGTGAAGGACGTGTTGCCCGGGGACAGCGTTCACAGTCTGCTCAGCATTCTAGACATCATTACAGTACGTTCTCTGTCTGCCTTCCTAATAACCTATCCTGCTCTAGTGCATTGAGATTCATTTGGGATTTCTCCTTTCTCTTCAGGGTTATCCTGCTCCTTATAAGACTGTGTCTGCTCGTGCTGCGGTCAGGTCTACCATTTTGCGTTTGCCTGCCTCAGCTTTCCAGGCAGTGTTTGAGAAATACCCAGAGACGCTAGTGAGAGTCATACAGGTACAGATTTGCTTGAACTCCCCCATGGCTGTCTGCATCAATGTGACCTCTGTCTTACTGAACATCTGTTTCAACCACACAATAATAACAGGACATTTTCTACACCTTTTTTGTATCACATATCATGTTTTTTGTTTTGTTTTGTTTTTCTCTAAGGCCCCAATATACTCACGCCAAGGTTCTGTTTCATCTTTTGCTTATTGGTTAAAAATAAATTTAAAAGGCTTGAGCAATAATATGTTGTGCACTTACCTCTCAATAACTGTGATGTTAAAAAAGCATATGATCATAGTGATGTGCATATATTTACCCAAGCTATGGAATTCAGAGTGTCACATTTAAAAAAAAAAATCACTTTATACTATAGATTGCTGTCACTGTTACTGTTAAGCTGCTTTCTAGTTGTTCATGTTTTACTTGCGTCTAACCTCTACGGACTAAAGAGAAGAAATGAATCAGGAGATTTTCACATAAAAGGAGGAAAACACACCTAAAAACACACCTAGATATTATATAAGTTCGAAGGTGTTAGCTCTTGCTATAATCTCTATGTACAATACATATTTTCCAGCTTTGACTGGGATCATGTTTTGGTATTTTTTTGTACTGTCCCTCCCTATATAAATAAACTGAAATGAAATAATTGCCACGGACCAATGGTAGTTTGAAGGTGTTCACAAGCCGTATCAAACTTTTCCCGGAAATTTCACTTTGGCAAGCTGTTTTCTCCAAAATCTTCTTCCAAACTCCAAACAAACTTAATTTGGCCTAATTTTGTTGAAAGGACGTCATACTAATTCATTCTTCAATTTCGCTTGAAGTATGTCTGGGCCTGTAATGTTCACCAGGGTTCTATCTCTCTTTTTTATAGTGGGTGGGACTGTATTAAAATAAATGATATAATATACCTTTAATAGATCTATATGTAAATGACTTGTATTTGACAATACTGTTCACACTGTAGTTCTTCAGGGTGGTCAAGTAGCTAATACTAGGGATGCACAAATATAAAAATGATGATGGATATCGATAAGTAGTAATTATTTTCATATTATTACATATAATTAAATGGCCAATATTAAAATTCTGTACCAACAAATATAAATAAATACTATTATTATTAATAATAGTTATTGTAACTGTTATAATCTATACAATTAAACTAAAAAACAAAATCAGTCATTATTAATTATGGAAATTAATTTTGTGATTTGCTAAAAATTTCATTCATCAGTGTTAATCAGTTATTAGTGTTTTTAAATATTAAGTTAAAGGAAATGTTAGATGACAGAGAAGGTTACATAAATGGTAAAATTATGCAAATTAATTATCCAATATTGGCTGATACAGTAAATTATTGTAAATAATATGATACAACAAATTATATTCTTATATGTAACATTGACCTAAAACTTTTAATGATACTGTTCAACTGTACAATTAAATTAAATTACTTTTTTGTGTTTGCAGTTCAGTCTTTGTAAACATGATAATGTGAAAAGTTAGACTGTGTATAAATTGCACATCAAAATATCTTTTTTGTAGAAGCGAAGAAAATATTTTTTTTCCCCACATACAGCCCATTTAACTGCATGGACACTGGTGTCTTATTTGCAAGATTTCAAACTGTTATTAACTGGAGTAAGCATCGTAATTTACAAAAAGCGTTAATTTGTGGCTTATTTCTGTCTGTTTAGATAATCATGGTGCGGCTGCAGAGAGTCACTTTCCTGGCACTTCACAACTACTTGGGCCTGACCACTGAGCTTTTCAATCAGGTTTGAGAAAGAATACACACGAACATCTCAGCATTATTACTTTTAAGATCATACACACTCTTTATCACTTCTAAAATATGTGCTTTCTCACACACACACACACACACACACTCACCGTTATTTCATGCTACGTTAACCTCAAGCGGCATAATCACTCCTGTGCTGGAGCCGTAAAACTCAGCTAGATTGAATAACATGGATCATAAGACCTCGGCTTTCATTTAAAGGACACCGACTTTAACACCCTCTGGGTGAAAATCTCCCATCAGCCATCACTGTATGTCACAGGCACAACCCTACACACAAGCAGCTCCCTTCTACCTTCGCCGTGCGGGCAGGCCGAGGGAGTTGTTTTCCGTTTTTGATTTAAGAAGTACTTTTAGCTTGCTCTGTGAATTTGAGTACTCTCCCATCGGCTATAAATGCAGTTTAGTTCTGTTAGCAGGCAAGGTTATGTGACGACACAGCATAAACTCAGTGCAGTTCTCACACTTGTCATTTTAAGATGGTAAAAAAAGCAAGTGATGAGTTTAAGTATAAAAATCAATAAGGTTCGATGGAAAATAAGGATGTTGATCTAGTTTTAGTTCCTTGCCACTGTTGCCTTGGCTTTTGACCGGCTAAGATGGGGACATTTAATATACAACAATATTATTGATCTGTGTTGTATTATTTTCATGTTATCACTGTGAAGCTGCTTTAATACAATCTGTATTGTAAAAAGTGCTATATTAATCAAAGTCAAGCTGGTTTTAGAAAACTAAATTAGTTTATGTTTTTTTGTTTACTTTTGCACTACATTTCATGAAAGTTTTATAGTATTTTTTATTTTGTAAATAATAAAAGGTGTTTATTGAATTGTTTGTTCTTTGGAGAAAGACCTCAGGAGTCAATGGCTGTTACATCAGACCAGTAAAATTGTTTGTGTGTCAGATGCTTCTAATTGGCTGTCTGAACTGTGAATGTGTGTATAGGAGAGACAAGCAGTGCCGCTGTTCACGGTCAACAGTGTGCTCACCGAGGGGAGTCCCTGCAAAGTCCCCCGCAGACCCCACTTCCAGACACACCCAGAAGACGAGCAGCTGCAGGACGGAGACCACTTGACACACTCCGGTACACGTTTGTTTATATGTCATATACACTATTGATATATACACTGTGTGTGTGTGTATGTAAAGACTTGTTAAATTGATCAAAAGTGACAGTAAATGCATTTATAATGTTACAAATTATTGGTCTTTTATCCTGAAAAAAAGTGTGTCACAGTTTCAAAAATGTGTCACAGTTTCCACCAAAATATTAAGCACCACAATTGTTTTCAACATTTAAATTAATAAGAAACGTTTTAGCAACAAATCAGTATATTAGAATTATTTTAAGGGTCACATGAAAGACACACTAAAGACTAAAGTGGCTGCTGAAAAAGTACATTTAAAATAAATGAACACTTATTTTAAATTGTAATAATATTTAACAATGTTGTAGTTACTGTATTTTTGAGCCTTGATGAGCATAATAGACTACTTTTAAAAACATTAAAAAAAAATCTTCCTATCTTAAAATCCAAGGTTGGATCCCTTCAATTATTACAGATATTTAGAATTATTACAGTAAAATAACTTTTTGCATTTGCAATATTGACTATTTACTTTTTTGGGGCTTTTTGTCTGGCACTTTCCCCCCTTTTTTATTGTATTTTTTACAAAAAAAACAAACAAACAGATTTTCTGTAAAATTGTACTTGTCTGTTTTGAGAGTGATAGAAATGTCTCATCACTTAGATGGAGGGCAAGCAGGTTCATACGAAAATGCGTCCATAGTTGCACGGAGGTCTCGCTCAGTCTCGATGCCTGTAGAGAGTTCAGGTAACAGTTCACCCATCATCTGCCTATCATTCCGCTCATATTCACGCCACACAGACTTGCTTTTACACACAAATGAGACCTCTAGTACTGAAATCTACAAACTAGATCTGGTTTCTTTGTGTGTTTGTGCAGGAGTGGCAGGAAATGACTTGAACATGGCCTATGAACGGGCCCGAGTCACCATTGACGATCCTCCGTCCATTTCTGTCAAGGTTTTTTCTTCCTCCATCTCATCCTTCTCTCATCCCAAATATCTATATATATCAAAACAGCATTGATATATTTTGTTTTATGTTCTTCAGTCCATTTTGAAGAAGAGTGTGACCATGCAGCATGCTCCGTCCGCTGTGATTCATTACACAGACAATGCATCACACTCTGACGTGCCCCCTAGTAAAGTGGGCGCCATATTCCAGGCCGCCAAGAAGGACCTGCTGGGGATTATTCCACTGCAGGTCAAAATACATCACCATTAGTGGGATATAGGTTTTTGTTAACGTACGTATTTATATGGATTTTGTGTTTATTGGTGCTGTGTTTGTGCAGGACCCCAGTTTGCTGGAGGGCAGGGTGACGCTCCATCAAGTTAAATCTGGATCTATTGTAGCTCGACAAGGAGATCAGGTCAGACATCACATTAAATGCATATCTGCTAACTACATGGGCAGCATCTTCATTAGCTTAAAATTACGTAAGGATACATATAAAATGAGCTATTTTAGAAGAGGTTAAATGTTACTATATACTTAGCTTTTGCTTTAGGAGAAGTAGGCAACTTGCTAAGTTTTGAAACATTCAGTGAGAATTTCTAATGTGTTACCCTGTCAAAATCATTTGTTTGACTGTGTTTTTCTGTGTGTTTCTTAGGAAGTAAGTGTGCAGTTTGTGATTTCGGGCACATTGCATGTGTACCAGAGGATGATTGACCGAGAGGAGGACACGTGTCTGTTCGTGGCTCACCCAGGAGAGCTGGTGGGTCAGCTGGCTGTACTGACGGGAGAGCCACTTATATTCACCGTACGGGCACATCGTGACTGCAGCTTCCTATCCATTTCTAAAACACATTTCTATGAGTAGGTATTCAGTCAACTACTAATGTTAGTCTAGTTCCAAAATCACAACATACACTACCATTCAAATGTTTGGGGTCTGTTACTCTTTTTTTTTTTTTTTTTTTTTTTTTCTAGTGAAAGGAAATTTCACTAGGAAATATTTTAAATTACTAGTGAAATTTCACAATATTACTGTTTTTAATGTATTTTTGAACACATAAATACATCCTTGAGGAACATAAGAGACTTAATTCGATAACATTTAAAAAATCTTACTGACCCCAAACTTTAGAATATTAGTGTAGACAAACTTTACTACTATCAACATAAAATCTGGTCCACTTTTCTGGCTAAAACAGCCCACAGAAAGGGTCTGTGTCTGTCTGACCAATATTTAAAATGATCTATCAATTCATATAATAGGCTGTTATGGAAAAACAGTGTCATCCATGACGGCTGTACAGAAAGCACAGAAGAAATTAGCAATAATACTTGTTACCTCTGTGTTACCTCTATATGTATGTATGTATGTGAAACAGTGTATTGAAATTATATTGTAACAATATATATATATTTTTTTAAATACTGTTGATTTTGTCATGAATATAACCATTGCTGCTGGTATCACATCATAAATAAGTAAATATTTTTAAAGCAACACCAAGTAAGATTTTTTAAGGGATAGTTCACTTTGAAATTAATTTTGGTTTGTTTTAGCTTACCTCAAGGGCATCTAAGATGCAGGTGTCTTTGTTTCCACAGTAGTTTCAATTTTGATATTTTTAGGTCAAACCGTTGTTGTCTATCAGTCATATAATGCAGGTCTGTGGTCACCACCTCAAAGACCATGCACAGAGAAGTCCAAATTAAATATTATTTAATGACTCGTAAATGTAAGTACACATTGATGGCATAAGACACGAAACGAGCGGTTTGTGTGAGAAAACGAACAGTATTATTATTGTTTTTACCTCTTAACTGGATAAACAGAGAGCATGTGCGTGCATGCGTGTGCATGCGACAGTATGCGGTAGGCTAAATTATTTACGACAGCAGTAAGGGACAATTCTACTTCCAACCTGTAGGATGACCACAGAGGAAAACTTACTTGGTGTTGCTTTAATTGGCTAATAAATGCATAGTTATATGTAACTTCTTGTTGACATTGGCTTGCCATAATGAACATAAACTTGACATAATGAACATAAACTCACTCTTTTTGCTGGTTTTAATGGTTTGACGGTTTGACAAGTTGTTTCACTCCCGTGTGTGTGTGTGTGTGTGTATTGTCAGGATCATGCGAGCTGAGCCCACTGTGGTGCTGAATGTGGCTCATACAGTTGTAAGAAGGATGTCATCTTTCGTCAGACAGATTGATTTTGCCCTTGACTGGATGGCTGTGGAGGCGGGGAGAGCTGTCTACAGGTTCGCCTCATTTCCTCATATTTACTGTTTACTTTTTTCTTCTCCTTTCGCACTATTTATTTTCTCTCTACCTCTTTATTAGCGTAAATACGTACTCTACTTAAATTAGTAAATTAGTGCACTACTTGGCCAAATGTAACCTTCTTATTAACAGGTATTATTGTTTCATCAGCTACACTCATTTTTAGAATGGGTAAAGATTTTTTTTTTTTTTAACCAGTACCAATAATGTTGGTACCAGTAATGTTGTGGTGGAATCAGTTACAGTAGCAACTGGAGGACAAACCCCTTATTAACACCCTTGGTTTTATTATTTATAAATTTTTTTCTTAAAGGAATTCATATTTTTATTCAGCAAGGATGCATTGAATTGGCCAAAAGTGACAATAAAGACATTTATAACACTCTATTGTTATGATATTTTTTTTCTCATCTTTTCCAATGCCTGCTCAGTAAGAGCTTTGGACAGAATACAATCTAATAAACTTGGCGATTTCTTCTTCTCCTCAGCCCCTCTGGCTTAGACAGATAAGCTTTCTCAGCATTTCATAAATCTTCTATGATAAATGACCCCATCCTTTCTCTCTCTCTTTCTCTCTCAGGCAGGGCGATAAGTCTGACAGTACTTTTATAGTGCTCAGTGGCCGCCTGCGTTCCGTCATCCTGAAGGAGGATGGGAAAAAGGAGCTGACTGGAGAGTATGGCCGTGGAGATCTTATTGGAGTGGTAAGCTTTTCCACATGCACAACATATAGTGTAACGTCTTCAAATCTGTGCTAGCAACAAATGATTGCACCTTGCCCAGAGTTTCTCAGAATTTGTAACCTTTTTTGACATTTTATTTTGTGCTTAGATGACTCAACAATGAATCATCAGATATCGTTCCATTTTATATAATGCTTGTACGTACGTAATGAATGTACTATATAGAAAGTCTGCCTATTATATGTGTAGTATCTCCGAGAATAGTTTTGATGACATTAGTGTACTGGCATTGATGCATTCAGTGTGCCACCTAATCAGGTGTGCCAGTATCTCAGTATCCCAGGAGATCCCTCTGTCTCGTTATTCATAATGTTTTATTGTGATTGGCTGACGTCGTAGTGACGCCTATGCTGCTAAGAATACCTTTCCATGGTGATGCCATGGTTACGTTGCCTGGAGAACAGTGGTTCATTGTCCATGGATGCGAGTGATGTGATGCCTTGTTTGAAGATCCAAATTTAGTCTTAATCTACAGATTGACTGTATTTCTAGATATTGGTGTTTTGTGACTGCTGATGTTTGCTCTAATCATGAAACCTGTATGATTTACTTTTTTGATGAATAACAAATTTCAATTTCTCAAAAAATTCTGTTTCTCACTGAAAGCAGTTATATGCTTTCCGAAGACTTGTATATAGATATATTAAGCATGAGTCATAGAGTTATTTTAGAATTACTACTATCATATTTAATCAAATTTTTAATTCACTTCTATTTTTATTTTTACAAAATGCGTTTCTGTATAGCTTTAATTTATTTAAAGCTATTTCAACTTTTTTTTCCAGTATTTAAAGTATTTAAACTTTTTTTCCAAGTAAGTTTTTCATGTGTTGTGTGTATGTGTGTGAATGTAGGTGGAAGCTCTGACCCATCAGAACAGAGCAACTACTGTTCATGCTGTTCGGGACTCAGAATTGGCTAAACTACCTGAAGGTGCTCTCAGTTCCATCAAGAGAAAATTCCCACAGGTATGCCAGCCACACTGCATTTGCTTTATAGCCAGAAACTGCGGTTATTAGAGTTTCTCTGCTCCCTCTGTGTCTGTATAATATCAGTTTTGTTCTCTGTATTTGATCTCATTAGGTAGTCACAAGGCTTATTCACCTGCTCGGACAGAAGATCCTCCAGCAAGTTAATGGACCTTTAACAGGTGTGTGTGTGTGTGTAAAAATATCAGCGGTCCATGTCCGGCATTAAAGGCAAAGGTTTCTAGGCTCCATATTATGATAACTGCGTTGTATCTGTATTTTAACGTCCAGCTCGCAGTCTAGCTCTACACACTCCCGGCAGTAAATGGGATGCGGGGAACCCTGCCTCAAACCTTTCTACCGTCACTGTGCTCCCGGTATCAGAGGAGGTTCCTCTGACCGCGTTCACCCTGGAACTTCAGCATGCACTTTTAGCTATTGGTGAGGACTGTTAAATTTTATAGATTTTAAATTATTAAGATGAGAAGGTTTACAATTAGAGAGAAAGCTTGGGTCAAATTTATCTTTGTCTTCTAGGTCCCACTCTTCTCTTGACAAGTGACATCATCAAACAGCGCCTCGGCTCTGCTGCATTAGACAGGTACAGCATCAAAGTGTCATTATAATTTATATGGGATCAAATATTAGTTTATACAAATGTGTGCCGACTCCATCTATCAGAATATGCAAATGTATTAATATATGCACATTTTTTGTGTTCAGCTGAAAAACAACAACAAACTCATTTTTATTTTGTTTTTACACATTGAAGTAGTCGTTTGATGAGCGAGATGAAAGCTGTTTTGTGATATGTAAATGAACACCACAATTAACCCCATAACTAATCAGTCCGCATGAGTCCTGGTCCCTCTAACCCAGCTTGAGATCTTCCTTTTTCCTTTTTGTTGCTGATGTTTGTCTTAGTTGTGAACCGCTTCTTGTGTTTTCTGTTTAGTTTAAATTCAGAAAACTTTTAAGTCCCAATACTGTCCTGGTTTCTGTCAAGATTATTGACAAGCTCTCATCCATCACATGTTTATTGGTCAGTTTAACAGCATTCGATCCACTGAGACAAGGAACCGAGTCCAACACACATTCATCAAAGTAGCTACAAGAGGACTCCTGAGTTCACACATCCTCTCAAAAAATGTGACAATGTAAAATCTATTACTTATAAACCCAAACTGTGTAGCAATGTCTTTGTTAAATTTGATATGGTGTTAAATATTTTTGAGTGCATGAGATACACATACACTACTATTCAAAAGTTATAGGCTCAGTAAGAATTTTATTTACAATTTAAAGTCTTCTGTTTTTATTATATTTTAAAATGTAATTTATTCCTGTGATGGCAAAGTTGAATTGTCAGCATCATTACTCCAGTCTTCAGTTTCACATGATCCTTAAGAAATCATTCTAATATGCTAATTTGCGTCTCAAGAAACATTTTTTAGTTTTTCTTAATGTTGAAAACAGTTGTGCTGCTTAATATTTTGGTGGAAACTGTTAAAGTTCTTTGAAGAATATAACGTTTAAAAGAAAATATATATTTTTTTTAATTAAAACATTATAAATGTATAAATGAAATAAGAAATGTGCTGTGATTGGTTAGCTGGCCCAGTGTGTTATGATTGGCAGCGCTTAGCAGAAGAACTGTACGAAACACCGTAAATAACGTAATCGAGTTGGTCTCCCTACGCTCTCAAAATATTTTGCAAAACCTTAAAATATATTATATATCTCAACATTTTTTAATGAGTTTTATATTTATCCATCGTTTTTCATTTGATTATGCTGTTTGCAATGCTTCAAGAGATTGTAGTTCTTGTAGTCCAATATTAAAATGCTTTTTTTGCTTCAAATCAAAATGTATTGTTATATCGTAGCTGATTGGTTTGGTTCATGGATTATAATGCTTTAACAAACTTTTTAGAAATCCCTATGGTATAAATGAATGGAAAAAATGCTCGGAACCAACACCACTGAAAAAGTGGGTGGACACTGTTGCACTCTATGCATCATAGAAATTTACTTGTCAAAAGTTCACACAATTCACAATTTAACAACTGAAGTCATTAGAATCCTTATTTCAATTTTACTTGAAAAGTGTATACATTATTATTATCATTATTGTGTATCCTTTCCGTTGTTACACTATTTGCTTGAAATAAATAAATAAATAAATCATGTCACTTACTTCGACGTTTGTTTAATAGTTTATTAAAATGTAACACTTCGATTATCTAAACTTTTAGAAATAACTTGCAATACAGAGAACAAATCAGATTATTTGCAGAGACCATGAAAAGTAGCTAAAAATAGTTTCGCTCTACTTCAGTGTGCATGAGTACAGGTTGTCGAGTTGGCTGGGTCAGCAGGAAGACATCCACCGCATAGTCCTGTATCAGACAGATGTGTCACTCACCCCGTGGACTCAGCGCTGCATCAGACAGGCTGATTGCATCATCATCGTAGGACTGGGAGAGCAGGACCCAGCCGTGGGAGAGGTATGATGGTGTTACATCATCAGAGTGAAAAACACTTACATGAACTGGTGCTACTGTAAATTATGTATCAAGACTCATAGCTACACCACTTTTGCTACATCCACTGGAAACTGAAGAGTCTTTAATATAAAAACCCTTTAGTTCTCAAATTAAAGGGGCTTCAAGGCTTAATTTATCATTCTCTCTGGATGACAGGTACTTTTATACATTGAGCCCAAGTAATATTAGGTTGTTTGAACCATAACACACCTACTCCAGGTGCTTTTTTTTATTCTTTTGTACTGTAGGTCACTGCTTAACCACTCTGTTCACAGGCAGTATTCAACCATGTTGACGGGACTCCCGTAGAACTGCAGGGCTTACTTAGCTCTTTTCCTAGAGAGCAAGAGATTCATAGTTTTAGTGCAGCAGGAAGCATATTTTCAGATATCCAGGGTTTTGGACAGTCTTTCGGCTTTGTGTTTGAAGTTGGATCAGAGGTCCGGGGTAGAGCAACATTCCTATTGATCGTGTATATCCTGCAGAGTTTAAAGGGGACGGCCTCTATGGTGCTGCTCTTTTGAATCAGGGACTCAAAGATGTTTTAAACAAGTTTGAAAAAGGTAATTGTATTCACAAGAAAAGAATTGAGAGATGACGTAGGTTTTCTCTTAAACGTCCCAATCAATAAGTATTCTTCTGAAAAAAGTGACCTTGTGAAAGAAATGGATATATTTCTATTATATTTATGGATTAGTTCTGCGCTCAGTGCGTTCCATTAAAGAAAGTGATTTTATTATCTTAAATGCATTTTGACGGAGTGTTGTCTAGTTGATAGACAATGGTTTATGATATTCAGGATGATATTCAGCCCTCTCTCTGTCTGTCTGTCTCTATTTCACTCAGCTGGAGCGTATGTTAGAGGGGAGTGCGGTGAGAGCACAGAAACAGCTGGTGTTATTGCACCGGGAGGATGGCCCTCCTCCCAAAGGAACAGCCGAATGGCTGAACATGCGGAGCTGGATCTCCAGGCACCTTCACCTGTCCTGCCCCCGCAGAGTCTTCTCCAAGAGGAGCCTGCCAAAATTGGTACAGCACTCAATATTACATCATGGTTTCACTGAAATAACTGACATTTTGAAAGTCATGTGGTCTAGCTCAGGGGTTTTCAAACTTTTAATGCCACAGACCCCAAAATTGGATGATGCAAGAGTTTGCTTTGATTTGTTTAATGTAATCTTAGTATAACATCAAGATTATATCAAATAAATAAAAATTGTAATAATATATACATTTATTTTATTTTTTTTATTTTTTCACAGACCCCCGGCCCTTGACATTTTCTTGAGTGAAGGGGAATTTTTTTTTTATTATTATTGATTTCCTTTCCAAAATTATGCATTTTGATTTTTGACATTCTGTTGATATTCCTGTCAAGTTTCCCAGGCTGCTACTGGTGTGTCCTTGAACTCCATTGACTATAATATGTCATGGCAAATATTCATCTCTTTCAGTATATAAAGAGAAAACCAACCACAAAGTAGAATTAATTTGACTTTTTTTTTTTGAACTGGCTATTTTATGATCTGTCTCATAGCTGAGATTGGAAGACAATTTTAATGTTTTATGAATGGCACCAAAACCAGGAAACTCTTAATAAAAGGGTTTCCAGTAGTGGCCATCACAATAAGTTGGGTTGGCAGCTGTATTAATGAGCATATCTGACCCAAGACCAAGGTGATGTGGGAGAATTTTTGCGTTGCTAATGTAACATGGATTTCTGTTATAGCTTTGGTTTAAGTTCCTTTGTCATTTGTGTTTTCAGAGAGAGATGTATCAGCGTGTGTTCCAGAAACCGGCCGATCGCCACTCTGATTTCTCACGCCTGGCCCGTGTCCTGACAGGAAACACCATCGCTCTAGTGCTGGGGGGTGGAGGAGCCAGGTACTCACCTTTTAAAAAAACTGTAAAAGAGAAGAAAAACACCTCCACTGTTTTGAATGCATTTCCACACTCCCACTCTTGTTGACACTACTGTGGCATTTTCTTTTAAAAGCCCTTTACCACCCCCTCTCAGTCTTTGTTTGACCTCTTGCCTCTGTTGTTCTCTTTCTGTCATTTAATTTGATCTGACATCCTCTGTTTGTCTATTCTGTCTTTTTTGTGGTTGGCAGGAGGTGTTTAAAGGTTGGTTGCTGTTTTCTCCTTTGATTTCTGTGTAGTAACCTGTGATTGATTCTGTGTTCAGTGTTTAATCTGCCCAGTCTCCTTTAGGCTAGGACAGGGTTGTCGATTTTAATCAAGCCATATTTGGGCATCGTAATTTTTTTTGACAGATAGAACAGAACCAACGTAAAAGGTTATGTATTGATTGGCCTCATATTACTGGGTTTATTTGCCCCCCCATCCCCCTTTTCATCCCTTCTTCCCTCTTCCAGGGGTTGTTCTCAGGTGGGCATCATTCGAGCATTGAGTGAAGCAGGAATCCCTATTGATCTGGTGGGCGGCACCTCTATCGGGTCCATGATGGGTGCGCTGTATGCAGAGGACCGCAGTTACAGCAGAATGAGGATCAGAGCCAGAGAATGGGCCATGGTGAGAGAGAGACCACTGTAATGTGAAACATTTTAAAACCTGAGATGATCCTTGTGGAAAATACACCACAGTGCTCATTAAAAGATGTAAATTAAGTTCATATTATTTTTTTAAGTCCTGTAATTTATTTATTTTTTATTTGTTGTTCTTTTTACTTTCCCTTTTTGTAATTTTTTTTTTCATTTTGTTTACTTTTGTTTTTTTCATCTAATTTTATTTTTATCTTTCCTATTATTTTTTTCTTTTCTTCATTCCTTTTTTCCATTAATTTTTTTTTTCATTTTACATTAAAATTTTTCCTTTTCTTTTCCTTTCATGTACCTTTTCCTATTCTTTTTAGTCATTTTTCTATTCATTTTAATTATTTTTCCTGTTTTCTTTTCCCTATTCCTTGTCTCTTATTATTTTGTTCTTGTTTTCTTTTCCTTTCTTGTACCTTTTCATTTTCCTGCTCATTTTCATTTTTTTCTTTTTCCTATTACTTGTCTTGTTCCCTTTCTTGTTTTGTTGTTCCCTTCATTAGCATTTCTTTCCCCTTTTCTTTTTAATATCTATTCCTTTATTTTTCTTTAGGATCTAAATAAACTGCCACTTAAATTGGTCATCAAAAGTCTAACTTTGTTCCCCTCTCTTTCTCGGCAGGAAATGAATTCCATGTTTAAGAAAGTGCTGGACCTGACCTACCCAATCACTTCTATGTTTTCCGGTGCTTCGTTCAACTCTAGCATTAGTGCTGTCTTCAAAGACAAACAGATAGAGGTAGGAAACTAGATCTTTTTGGCTCAAGAAATCCTACACAGGATCGCAATCTGCCAAATTCAGCAGCTTAAATGTGTTTGGCTCGTTTACAGGATCTCTGGATCCCATATTTCAACATCACCACAGACATCACCGCCTCTACGATGAGAGTGCACACTGATGGTTGGTACTGTCACATACATTTATGAGCCTCTCCTTAACCAGGATAAATGTCTGATGTTTCCCCTCCCTCTGTCTCAGGCTCTCTGTGGAGATATGTGCGTTCCAGTATGTCTCTTTCTGGTTACCTGCCACCATTGTGTGATCCAAAAGATGGACACCTGCTCATGGACGGAGGCTACATCAACAACCTGCCAGGTGTGTAGTAGTGAATTACACGCTAGTATCAAGTCCAACTCTCTCGGCCTGGAGGGGGGGGCACAGGGATGTTCATGGGGCGACCAAGCCCCTCCCGGCCCTCCCTCTGTTGCTAGGCCTGGGGCAGACTATGAGTGTGCGGTCTATGGCCTAGACTACTGCGGTTTATCAGATCTGAAGGATTTGGCAGTTTTGTTCTTTTTAATGATGGTGGTTAATTGTTGGTGAGCGTTTTGATTTCTGTCCCAATTTCAGCGGATGTGGCACGCTCCATGGGTGCAAAGGTGGTTATTGCAATTGATGTGGGAAGCCAAGATGAAACAAACCTTACTAACTATGGGGATGCCCTTTCTGGCTGGTGGCTGCTATGGAAACGGTTCAACCCACTGGCTGAGAAAGTCAAGGTGAGGGAGACTTTACCCATATGCAGTGCTTACTTAATTAGTTGTGTTTTCTAAGGCAAGCATGGCTATTACTATTACTCGTAAATGTGCTGTCAGATTTACTGTTGTTCTGCGAATGATAACAGAAAGCTGCTTGGTTTGAAAATGACCGAGCTGTGCGTCATATATCACTACACTATTGACAATAGACAGTGAACCTTTTTTGCCAGTGAAATTTCACTTATGTGACCTGATTTTTAGTGTTAACTGCTTGTGATTTTTTTTTTTTTTTTTTTTACATTTTACACAAGTTGCAGTGTCAATTCATGTGATGGTGTGGTGTACTTACCGGTGTACCAGTTTAAACGGATGACAAAACAAGCAAAAATATGCCATAGATTTGCATTTTTGGGGGAACCTGAGCCATATTAACTAGCAACCAAACATAAATACCCTAGCAACCACACAGAATACCCTAGCAACTGCAAAAAGATAAAAAAATAAAAAAAAAAAAAAAAAGCAAACCGCAACTTACCAGAACATCCAAGCACTAAAAAAATAAAAATAAATCTAGTTTCTTTAATAAAGTTTTCATGGATTCTCATGGATTTTCAAAGTTGTGTGTGACTGTTTCAGGTGTTGAACATGACTGAGATCCAGGCTCGATTGGCTTATGTGTGCTCAGTGAGACAGCTTGAATCTGTTAAGAACAGCGACTACTGTGAATACATCAGACCACCCATCGACAGATACCGCACGCTCGAGTTCGGCAAGTTCGATGAGATCAGCGTGAGTTTTATCTCCTTTACTTTTTTACCGTCCGCACCCTAAGTATTCAGTGTTTCTCCTGCACTTACACTTTTTGGGTTTGTTTTGGTGTGCCACGTGTGTTTGTTTGTGTGTGTGGCTGTGTGCACATGTAGGAAGTTGGGCACCAGCATGGGAAGACGGTGTTTGATGTTTGGTGCAGGAGTGGCGTTGTAGAAAAGATGATGAAGGACAGACATCAGGAAGAATTCCACAAAACGCAGAGCAACAGTGTAAGCCATAGGTCACCTAAAAGACTTTTCAGATGTAAGTTGTGTTAACAGTTCCTTACTTCAGTTTGTTGTTCTGCAGGTGGTGACCTGTCCCAATGCTTCCTTCACTGATCTGGCTGAGATCGTCTCACGCATTGAGCCAGTCAAACCAGCTCATGTGGATGGTAAATTAATGCTACACCTCTTGTAAATCTACTTTTTAAGATAGCATTTGGCATTTAACATTCTGTTTCATGGATTTTTGGCATGCATTTCCTGCATATTGATCTTTCTTTGGCTGCTTCTTAGTTGGATGTCATTTAGTGTTGTGTGATTTGTGTACAAACATCATTAAACTAATGCTTCGGAATATCGCCATCTTTCCCTCAGATGAATCGGACTATCACACTGACTATGAGGAGGAGATGGCAGAGAGCGCTCTGTCAGACATGGAGCTCTACAACCATTACAGTGAGCACACAGACACTGTAAGTCTTGCATACACACACAGATTTAAAGGGACATTCTACACTTTTTTTTAGCATTTTATTCTTGTTCTTCATGTCAACTATTTCTTCTACCAACAGTCCTAATTTAAGTGAACATGATGATTTTTCTTCCTTGCAATAAGTTGTGGTTTTGCTGTTCTTAAGGGGGTCAAGACACCTTTATTTAACTGATATACAATTTTAGATTTTCTTTTAAGGTCTTGAACCACAGAAAAATGTCCACCCTTTCTCTCTCCCTTACAATCAAACCGTTAGTATGCCTTTAATATGTAGTTATTATGTCAATATGGTGACCAAAAGATTGCTATGTCAAATGCATGCAGGTCTGTTAAATTTTGTTAATCAAATAATCAGTTGTATCAGTTTCCACTAAAATATTAAACAGCACAACTTTTTCACATTGATGATAATAAAAACCTTATAATAGAATGATTTCAGAAGGATCATGTGACACTGATGACTGTAATAAATTACGTTTTAAAATGGTTCAATTTACATTAAAAAGAGAAAAAGGGTTATTTTAAGTTATATTATATTGTGTTTACAATATTTTTGATAAATGCAGCCTAAATGTGAATAAGCCTCAAAGTCCTATGAAATCTTTAAAAATAAATTCATTGATTGTATTGATCCTTATGTCCAGGATGAAGAATTCGAGAGGACTCGCAGTCAGCGTGTGTGTTCTTCTGACGTGGAAAATCTGGGTCCTGAGTCCTCCAAAACACTGCAAACGTCCAGTCCTCAAGATACTAACAGCCCTCCCACCCTCCACACCAGAAAAGCACACTGACTGAACTCTCCGTCCTGAACTCTGACCCAGATGTCAGCATGGTAGTGTACAAACACTGACAATCCCAAGATTTGGGGTTTGGCCCCCTGTATACATTCCAGTTACACTCCATGTCCAAGCCCTGAGGATCAAAAAATGAGTGTTTTGTGTATTTACACAAGCCTTTTTCCCCTCCTCTTGTGCATAAAATCCTAAGAAAACATCTATATCTCTACTGTTGCACTGGGTAACATGGCGTGGGGGTTGAAATGAGACCATCTGAGTGGTAACTCAAGATTATTCCAGAGTTTCTCTGAAGTTTCATGCTGACTATGAACTAAGTCTCAACTCTAGCCCATCTTGAATTACCGGTCAATAACAGAAGAAATTGCACGACTAAGACAATCAACTACAACATTGCAAACATTGTATTTACAAACAGATTGGATTGTGCGCACAGTTGATTGTTTCTAATGTCAATGCAAGTAGCAGAACACAGTAAAATAATGATTTTGAGATAAAACAAAAAGATGGGGGATATTGACTGTAGAGTTCTCGATTTATAAACTCAGAAAACTGATGTCGACTTTCGTTTCATTAGACCACTTGACAAGTCAATTTATCCCACAGCTTGGCTGTTCATGCAGGCCAATGACTCCTTGCTGAGGGGTACCTGATCTGTGAACAGTTGAGTGATCGATTTAAACTAACCAGCATCGTATATCATACCGAATATGTCTGAGTTAATCATACCTCTAGCTGCTGCTGCATGTGATCAAACACAAGCAAAAAAGCAAACCTATCAATGCAATATTTTTTACGTTTCTTGTTTTTGTCGACAAAAAAAAAAGCCGTATGAGACCTGTTGTGCCTTTTAACCTTATTAGTAATATGAAATCAGTAAGTGGTCCAAAAATGTATTAACAGTCTGTGTTTTTGATTGTTGCCATGACTGACATTAATTTAGAGATTTGTGGTCAGGCCATTCTTTTTGAATCTTCTGGAACAATCTATAATGCTTTGTGCCAATAGTTTTGCTTTAAATCTGTTGTGCTAAAGCTATGAAGAAAGTACTTATGTTTTCCACATTTCAGTTTGTTTTCAAAGTTAGAAAAACTACAGTATGGACATCTGAAAGAACAAACAAAAATATGCAATTGTTTTCTAACGATGGGTGTCATTTTGCAAACGTTTTAAAATGCTGATTTCTAATAAACTGCCTTAGTCTTGTGTGAAGCTTTTGAAATATTTGTATATTTGCATATGTTGCATAATGTAGGGAGGCTCAAGCTTACCCTGTATGCTGCACTCCAGGAGCCTTGTGTGCCCGGCGGCAATTATGGCGATGAATTATGAGATTCGGCTGTAAGTCCACGGTTTTCCTGCCTAATGGAAACTGCTGTCTTCCATCATTGCTCAGTGCACACTTTGAGCAAAGCTGCCTCAGCAGGCCACCACACGTGAGATTTAATGCACTCAGACATGTAATGAAGAAAAAACGCTTCCAAATGAGTTTTGGAAGTGAGAAGTAGGAGATAATCGCACATGATGAACAGACGTCTAATGTATCACATGTACTGACATGTGCAACTGCACTGGGTGTGGGGTCAGTCAAGTACGGCGCCCCCCTAGTCCCACTTTGGCAAAAAAAAATTAATTGATAATATCTCGTGGCCTCAAGATAGTAACTCGTGGCCTCAAGATACTAACTCGTAGCCTCAAGATAGTAACTCGTGGCCTCAAGATACTAACTCGTGGCCTCAAGACACTGCTTGCACGACAAGCTATACTGTCCTCTTATTTTATCTTGCCCACAATTTTCGGCAATTAATTCAGCCTGAACCATTTGACCTATAGATTCCATTAAATCTTTTTGTTGATATTTCTAGCCTAAAGTGCTAGTAGATTTTTAAAAAAAAAAAAAAAACTAGTAAAACTTTTTGAAAATGAGTGATGATATGCATTAATTTGTGATTGTTCTTTCTTATATATATATATATATATATATATATATAATTTTTTATTTTATTTTTTCTGCATTCTTTTGCTCCATTGAAAGCTCTGTAATTTTTCTTCAGGAAATGCAAATCTAATTCTCTATTATGAAATATGTATCATTATTATTCATGTATTTGTTATAATCAAATTATTAATTTATATCTTCTGTCTGTTGTCCAGAAATGACACTGCAGAAATGACTCTGCAAAACTGCAATGCTTGGAACTTCCTGCATCTGCCACTAGGTGGTGTCGTGTTATAGCCCACCTCTGTGTAATGACTTCCTCGTGTGGTGATTAGGAGCAGGTAAAGGACGGTTATTTACTCTGTTGTTTAGCTCCTGTCAGAATGATATACGAGGTGCCGCTGTGACCTTTCTGCTCTGCTGGAGCAGACTTATATTTTGCCAGCCTTGTTAATTCATTGTCTTGTTGTCCCCCCAAGAATAGGCAGAAACGTCACCATTAATTAATGAGTTTCGTGAGAAGAAATATGGGTCATAGTCTCTGAGAAAGTGAGCGGTTAAAGCAATATTCACCTAAAAATGACAATTCTATTATCATTTATTTACCCGCACATTTTCCTGTATTACTTTATTTAAAACGTAAAAGGTGAATCCCAGGCCACTCTATTCAATATAATAAAAGCAAATGAGAACTGTCAAGTTCCAAAAAAAAAAAGCACCAGAAAAGTACTCCGTGTGGCTTGTGTTTAATATTCCAAGCTTTTCCAAGTTTTGTGCGAAGAACAGACTGAAATTTAAGTAATTATTCGAATTCCCTCTAGGTCTCTATGCAGCATTCAAGAGAGTGAAAAAATTGATTCTTTGATGGAAATAAATTTTGTGATTGTTATTTCCATGTGCCAATTCATGTGTGGAAATGATTCTTCATGGATCCTTCCAACCATTATTTCACAATTTGAGCCTGATGAATCTTGACATTGTCATCCTGGAATATGGCCATGATGTGTCTTCCTACATGGTTGTTTAATAAATGAAAGGCTAGTACACACTCCATCAGTTAGGGTTAGAAGAACGGTTGCCAAACATATAACGAACATAATATAATAATGTAACAAATATAACAAACATAATAAAAAAATAATATAAGCAATAATGATCCAGTCATATAGTCTTACGTATTTGCCTGTTTAAATCCAAACAGCAACTTTATTTTTTGTAAATGTATAGTACACTAGAATGAATCAATCACAAATTGGACTGACCTTATTTGTCAAGTTGATTTGGTCACAACAGTTAAACCCTGGACTACTTTCAGTGAATCAGAACATATGAGAACTACTTTCTTGATTTTTTTTTTTTTTTTTGTCTTTCGGCAACATGACATCATGACTTTTGCGTAAACATACATGCCACTTTCAAGTCAAGTGGCGTGTTATCTATACGCATTTTGAGCTATCCGAGTAATTCCGCGTGTGACATGTACGTTGTTAAATTTCCGAGCGAAACAAAGCAAAATGTAGATCTACATCGGGGTTGCGATATTTATTATTATTTTTTCCTAGGATGGTAGGGGAAGACTCATAAATGCTATTAACCCCAGTGACAGGTAGGTTTAGGGACGGGGTTGAGGTAGGACATATATTTATATATACAGTAATGTAACGTTAAGTCAACGGCGCTCATAAACACGCTGAAAAGTGATTATGCCTGTTGATAGCACGCCAAAAATGGAAATACGAATTGGCGTGTCATACACACGCAATTTCATGGGGGCAGCCTAATAGTTAGAGTCCAACATGACATCATGACTTTTGCGTAAACATACACACCACTTTCAAGTCAAGTGGCGTGTTATCTATGCGTGTATGTCTAGGCCGTTAAACGTCCTAGTGATTCCTCGTGAATGTACACAATTTGGAGTATGTCACATTCAAATCACTTTCACTTTTTAAAGCTTGACAGGCCCAATTCTCATTCTCTTATTTTTAAAAGAAATTTACATTTGTGTTCCAATGGAATAAGGAAAGTCTGGAACGACATGAGCGAGTAAATGCTGACAGATTTTCTTGTATTTACACTACCTGTCAAAAGTTTTAGATCGGTAAGATTTTTTTAATGTTTTTAAAAGAAGTCTCTTCTGCTCACCAAGGCTGCAATTATTTGATTAAAAACACACACACACACACACACACACACAAAAACAGTAATATTGTGAAACATTATTACAATTTAAAACAGCAGTTTTCTGTGTGAATATATAGTGACGTGTAATTTATTCCTGTGATCAAAGATGAATTTACAGCATCATTACTCTCTTCAGTGTCACATGATCCTACAGAAATGATTATAATATGATGCTCAAGAAACTTTTATGATTATTATCCATGTTGAAAACAGTTTTTTACATTTTTTTATTTCAGGATTCTTTGAATAGAAAGTTCAAAAGAACAGAATTGATCTGAAATGGAAAGCTTTTTAACATTAATCACTACCATTCAAAAGTTTGGGGTCAGTAAGAATTTATTTTTTATTTTTGGGGGAAAGAAATTAGAAAATACTTTTATTCATCAAGGATGAGTTAAATTGATCAAAAGTTCCAGTAAAGACATTTATAATGTTAGAAAAGATTATATTTTAAATAAATGCTGTTCTTTTGAACTTTCTATTCATCATAGAATTTTGGGGGAAAATATGGTACACAATGGTTTTCAACATTGAAAATAATAATTTATGTTTTTTGAGCATAAAATCAGCATATTAGAATGATTTCTGAAGGATCATGTGACACTGAAAACTCGTGTGTAATCAGCAACAGTAATGAGGTTGAAAATTCATGGTGAGCAGAAGAGACTTCATTTAATAACATAGAAAATCTTACTGATCTAAAACTTTTGACCGGTAGTGTATGTGTATCATATCGTTTGATGTGAGTGGCAGAGAACGGTCCAACAGGTTTGTGTAGATCATAAAAGTATTTGGCGTAGATTAAAACAAAGAATGCTGCCACTTGCAGAGAACACGATCACGCAGAAGTGGACAAGTGTAACCCTTTGCAGTTCAACTGTAATTTCCTTTCTGCCAATCTGACTTGGCGTTTCTATTCGGTCCTCTATCTCTCTCTCGTTCTCCCTGTCCCAATTCCTCTCTTGTCTTTAAAAAGCAATTTGGGTTACAACAGGTAAATGGGTCACTGAAGTCAGATCTCCCTCCTGCTCTCACGCACATGTACAATCAGACTCCTACGCTGTGATCAGCGGACCCCATGGAGCACAAGCTCAAAACCCTCTGGCGTCTGATGACTTTGAGCTGTGTGAAAAGAGCATGTGATTGCTGACCGCGGTAAGCACAGCTTTTCTGAGTTTGAGTTAACTAATGACCTCTTATTTCCCTAGATAATGAGTCTCCAATGTGAGCGCTGAGCTCACAGACCATTTGCACAAAACTATTTAGTTTGGTTTTATGCATTTATTTAATACAAATAAGCCATTGTGCTTCATTAAATTTGCAAAGTTAATCTGTCCTCGTTTCCCATTTGACAATTTTATCTGGGAAATTCACTGCAAATCGCATTCTCGTAGGATGGTCTGACGGCTCTGCTTTGTAGCATCTAGTCCATGTCTGTTATAGATTTTGAAAGGATGTTCTCATGTTTACCAAAGCTACCATTTATTTGATCATAAATAAAACAAAAACAGTATTGTGAAATATTATTACATTTAAAGAACTTTTCTATTATTTTTTTTAATGTTATTTATTTTGTGTGTTGTCAAAGTCTTCTGTGTCATGTGATCAATTTAACATGCTGATTTGCTCAAACATTTCTTATCAATGTTGAAAACAATTGTGATGATTAATATCAGTGCTCAACATAAAAATAAAAATAAAAATCCCAGTAGATCAGAGTTTTGCTGGCCCTTTCTATATTTTGATTGGCCCTGAAAGAAATACAAGGAAAAGCACTTTTCCCTTAAACTGTATTTATTGTATACGTTAAGATTAATTAAAACAGTGAAGGGAGTTCAGGAATTAAGAGAGAGCCCCTGGAAACATGCAAAAATAACCAAATTTCAGCGTCCATGGATTATTTTTAAATATCTCCTCATCTCGATCACTCTCTCTTTTTTTTCTCAGTCTCCTCATCTTTCTTATTAAAGCTAAAGTTATTCATTCAAGAGCTGTGAGTGAATTTCTTTTTTGCCTTTTGTTTGGATAAACGCCATTTTGAAAGTATTACCATTATACGCATTAACACAAGACTAGTGGGAGACAATTG